ACCCAAATGCAAGTTCTAGGGTGTGGTACAGATGCAGAGAAGATGCTACCCTTTATAGTTCCCATCCCCGCAATTCTAAAATTATTGATCCAGGGTTCTTGAATCAAGGCATAATCTAAGGACTGCTTAACCGTGCTCAGACAGAACACAGCCGTGGCAGCCTTACTGTGTTGTAGGTTCGCTTGAAGGACCTGAGTCATCAGAGGGAGCACCAGAGATAACTCTGAGCTGTATTTTCCCCAGACCCAGATAGATAATCCAGCCACGATCTTTCAGAACCTGCGCATTCATTTCATCAATAGCAAGAACAAGAATCTGATGATCATCCTTCCTCTTCCCACCAATGACGCGCCAGTCCTTTGTCGTGACACCAGGATTTTGTCGCTCAATCTGAACAAACACTTTAGAGGCTTCGACCTTGGCCAAGCGCCTGTCAGTGCGTAGGAGCACTTTGGTCGTGCGCAACAGATCCTTATAGTCTGCTACAATGACCTCCATACTCCCCTCACTTCCCAGCGCCAGCTTCGGTGCCACCCTCTTTAGCCAGTCAGTTGTTTCAGAATTACCACAAGTTACGACAAGAGCACCCTTCTCATGGTAAATTTTTTCAAACTGATGAGGAATGTTGGCGCCGTCATCACCAAACACCAACTCCATCAGTTTGTCCTGCAACAAATCACATTCCTCAACAGAGAATCTCGCATCGGGATAGGCCGCTGGAGCTACTGCCAACTTGTGACCCACAAGCTGATCTCTGTAGCTGGCCTTTCCTGCAACGAGTCCATCTGCTGATTGATTAGAGTTTTTATTTCTCTTAGAAGGAGGATTTTGAGACGACCCAGGGTTACTATCGGATCCGGTTCTACGCATCGGTGATACGCCTGAACCTTCCCCAGGAGAACTCAAGGACTCTCGCTTCCTCTTTCTCCACTGTCTGTTAGGGATCCACGTGCCCTCAGCCTTTTTCTTTTCTCTAACAGACATATTGTACTCAGTTTTGGTCATAACTGTAAAAGTGATCTCAGAGTCGGACGAAACATCCGCCAGAGATGGAGAGTCGCCAGCACTGCTGGTGTTTAGTGGCTTATTCAGGTCTGCATCTAACCTGTGGCAAAGCTCAAGCACATCAGTAGATGAATTGGGTGGAGTTCTTGCTGTTAAGGAACTTCTCGAGAAGACCTCTGGCGAGTCCAGGATCTCCCCAGGTTCCGTCTCCATAGCGGTGTTCTGCACAGTAACATTATCATTGTTAAAGGAAAGCTGATCGTTGCCCTCCCCAGAATCCATGGGCTTGTCCTCCAAAAAGGAGGAGTGGGATTCCCCGCTTGAGCAGGTACCCACCTGGGGTAATGATTCCGTTCGTTTACTTTCAGCCATTACTAAAACAAGAAAAGCAAAAAAGTTAGCAGTTTAGCAGCCGAACCGTGACCCACTCACTACGCCTGCTAATATCCAAGACTGGACCCTTTCGGGGTAGGACCCCTCATCGTCTCCAGCTCAGTCCTGTCACAGCTGCACACATACCTGTAACAGTTGGCGGTAACATTAGCTATCTGGGCCTTGGCCGGATTGGTGATTGTCACCTCCGCCCAAGGCCAGTACTAGAGCAGCCGCTCCCTACCCTAGGGCTGTCTAGTCACGACACAGCCAGCGCTAGATCCGCTGCCTTCAGCGAGTGCAGAGGCACCCCTTGCAGGCTGTGCATAGCACAATACGACTTTGCTGAACAAAGTCGACTCACAGCGGTCTTGGAGGAGGAGCTGTCATAGACAGCTCCCCCTCCCTGAGGAGCTTACGCTTACCTCTCACCACCTGATCTGAAACCATACTGGGCTGACACAAGCAGTCCATTACTTTCAAAATAAGGTAACATTTGATCCTTAATTATACCTTCAAAAATCTTACCAAACACAGGGAGAATAGATACAGGTCTAAAATTTTCAGGCACATGGTTCCCCTTTTTATGGACAGGGACTACTCTGGCTGTTTTTAGGACATCTGGAAGAACACCCTCCTTGATACAAAGATTGATACAATAGGTGAGTGGAACTACAATATGATAAATCACATTCTTAATTAAGATTGCAGAGATATCAAAAACATCCATACTTCTAGAGCTATTCACTTATGTACAACAGATAGCACTTTCTCACAAGAGACAGGTTCAATGTTAAAAGAACATGTTGGTCTAGGATGCTGGGCTAGGAGGTTTACAGCGGGGGTTGGTGGGGTAGGCCTACCAATTGCATCCCGAGTCTGTTGGACAGAATTAATGAAGAAATCATTCAGCTCCTCAGCAGAAAGTCTAGTAGTTGGTTTTGCTTTTGCAGGGGCCCCCTCTTTTTTGATGACAGACCAAGCGGCAGCACAAGAATTTTGAGAGGACTCAATGAAATTGGCATTGTATTCTTGTTTTGACCGTACTAAACTCACCTGGTAATCTTTCTTTATCGCTTGATACCTCCTCTTGGCATCAAGGGTTTTTTCTTGTCCATAAATATCGTAAGAAAGAAGCAACCATCTTCTCAATATTACAATAGTCTCTGATTTCCACTCCGGAGCCAGTGGATGCTTTGTATTCTTCGGTCTAGACACTTTTTTAGTTAAAGATTCTTGAAAGAGCAAAATAAATATTCTTAAAAAATTACTAAAAATAACATTAGCATTACCCGCAAGTAAAATATTCCAATCAACTGAGTTGAGAGCAACTATAAAGTGATATGTTTTATCAAGAGTAATCGGTCGACAAGTCCTAGCAATATAAGGATCTTTATTCTTGGACAGAGGGATACCGAGACTAAACTGAATGCCATCATGGTCACCTATGGCATGTTTCACCACCTCTACTTTAAAATCTTCACGAGGAAGATCTGTGGCAACATTGTCCAGACAAGAGTTCTCACGAGTCGGCACCCAGACAGTACAGTAAAGATTCAGTGATTTTAACAAGTTTATAAAATCTTCAGACAAACGGTTTTTTTTCAACACATTAATGTTCATGTCACCACCCAGGATAATATGGTTTGTTGCCCTCTTGTTGCCTACAAAATAAGGTTCTCAAAGCTAGACAAAAACATTCCTGGATCACCATCAGGGGACCTATAGACACCAATAAGGACAATGTTCATAGCCGGGAAATGAACGCAGACAAACTCATGATGTAACTCTAAACAAAAACTATTTACATTGATAAAAATAAATGAGTCACTAAGTTCTTGGGAAGCAAATATAGCAACTCCGCCTTGCCTGCGTTGAGAACGACAAAAAGCTGAAACATAAAAATAACCCTTAATGTTCACAAGCTTAATATGTTCATCACTCAACCAGTGTTCCGACAAGCATAATATTTTGTATTTGTTATCAGTGAGCATCATTTCAAGTTCCATAACACGGGTGTAGCATAGACACTGGACATTTAAAAATAGTAAGCAAATGTTTAGGAATTCCATGTTGTTTAGGGCTGTGCCAACTTTGGCTGCCGACTCCCTTACAAAGTTGAGAGTTTATAAAGTTACGTTGAAATCTAGGCTTAGTAACAAATTCTCTAACGAGTGCACCCTCTGGCCAAAAGGATTCATTCAACACTTTTGAGGTTAGGTTGGCAGGAATGCCTATTTTAAAAGAAGTGTAGGTATTGTGTTTAGGTTTGAGAGGAACCACATCACCCTGAATACCAGATTTGTTAAGAAAGTCTGAAATATCTTCCTTCACACAATCTACGGCGAGTCTGGAAACAAAAATCGATGAAAGTTTACCTACCGCACGAACCTTTGTAGAGTCTAGAGTTTTATTGGTCCCGATGATTTGTAGAGACTGTTGTTTAGTGGAACCAATATGCTTAGAATTAATACTGGGCTTTAGTCCATCACGCTTTAAATGTCTTTTCTTACCAGCTGTTTGCCACTGTTCAGCACTGCTTATGTAGTACACGTTGTCCAGAGGTGGAAGCACAATCAGAAACAGCCTTGTTACTTGAACCTCTTGTTACCTGGGCAAAGGACTTAGCCTCAACCTCGCTGTTTATTAGCTCCAAACTATTAGCAGATGCAATGCCAACCTCCGTGGAAGACAGTGTGCCAGTTGTATCAGAGTTTTTATCATTAGTCTTAGGCCTATTTAAAGGATCAACTAGCCTAATTTGCGAGTTAAGAATCGAGTCTAGTTTATTGTTGACAGCAATATTATCAGATGCTATTCCCTTAACAATTTGAATCAAATTCAATACTGTGGATTTCAGCTCAATTAAGCCCTCAATATAGTCAACGTTCTTGATGACTTTGTCAAACTTAACCTCACAATCACTGCAAGCCCACTTGGACTTGTTACCTTACAGACTCATACAATTGTATTCCTCACTGCTTATATTCACACACTCACAATGAAACCATTTAAAACAGAAGAATTCACAACAAACTCCTTTTCCATCATCACAAACAGTAGTTTTACAGACTGGACAAATATCATCACAAACAGTAGTTTTACAGACTGGACAAATATCATCGTTGTAACCACCAGCCATGACAGGTTCACTCCAATTCCTTTAAAGACAGTAAACTGCTCTGTGGCAGGCTAATAGGCTAACTTTAAGTTAATATTAATGAAGTGAAAGCAAATGATTGACAAAAAGTTGGGAATCTTTTAAAAGTCATTATAACTTACTTTAATTAGACAACATTTATTCAATAGCCTATAGACAATAGACAATAATGTTTATTGGCATGTTCGTTGAGAACAGTACATGCGTCATTATTCGTGTATTATATCTTCATATTCCAATATTACCATTTTAGTTGTATGCATTTCCTTCCTCATGTCACCTAGAAACAGAATATAGAATTTTCTACTGTCTCTCTAATCACCGATCTTTGGCTGAAATAATAGCCTACTTTTGTAATTTGCAAGTGATGACCGACTTGAAAATGCTTTGAGGTGGGAATTTATTTTTTAATGCTCATAACTTTTCAAGACAGTCCCCATTTAAACTTCCTTAACTGTTCCAGGAATCCCAACGCAAAGACGATTCAATAGATGAAAATATCATGTCTCATATTAAGAAAAGACACTCCTTAGCAGAAGAAGTAGCTGCAAACTTGACTCAGCAACAACTTGAGGAAGAAATGGAGTAAGTTTATTTATAATACTACGTGTGAAATAATTGATTAAATGTATTGATGTTGTCAATTCACTGAGAAATACTACACATAGGCCTAAATAGTTGTGAGGCTCCATTTATTCATTTTCAAGTATGATAATCAAAGTGTTTTGAATATTATTCCAAAGTACTTTGAAAACTTGTTGATCATATTTGAAAAAAAAACCTCAAGAACTAATCTTCTGTAATAACAGACGGTGTATTGGTTAAGACGATGTAAGAAAAAAGAAAGCCATTCCATGTAACTTAAGCATCAATTTTGCACAATTTGCATCAATTTTGAAGATAAAATACCCTGTCACAGCAACCCACAGAAAGGTGAATTTTCATTTGTCTGATTGTATTCTTACTGTAATATTTCCTTAAATGTATCAGAATCATTCCCTATTTAAATAAAATTATGTTTCATGAGTAAGGTTTGCTACATTGAAGAAAAAAGCTTGCTGTTTGGTAAAATGTTAATAGTATGGTCTGGAAAAAATCAATTTTTCCAAATTTTATAAAAATAAACCTATGACCAAGCAACTAAAACCAATAACAAAGGAATTTCAAATGTACAGTTTATTGGAATTTTCTCCTTAGCAATAAAGCCTTCAACAACGCTTTATTTATTTTATTTTTAAGTTTTACTCAATGGCTGCAATAAAAATTAGGCATTTTTTCATGATTTTTTAGTAAAAGTTATAACAAATCAATTTTTGAAAATCTAAAAACCCTATAACACTTTTGTTCCTGTTACCCAATCTTGCTGGTTCACAAAATCTATACAAATAAAATTAGAGTTCTGTCTGAACTTTGTTCATAATTATATTGTTTTTTTGTTATTTTTACGTTTTATAAATTAAAGAAGCCTAAACAAGTCTTATCTCAATTTCTGTCTGTCTGTCTGTCACGGCCCAGAAGGCATTTTATGTGGCCTTCTCCTGAAAAACATGAGCATCGATTGTGATTCAAATAGGCTAGTTTTTTTGTATTCACTGGATTGGCAACAGTGTCTTTAGCCATTAAAATATGGCCTCACTACTTTTGAAATAAAATAATTGAGGTTCAAAAACCCAATATTGCGCGTTTTTTCTGTGAAGTTTTCTCCCAGTGTTTACCACATATGGTACGTCATTAATGTAATATCTGTTTGTAGACTACGACATCTATGAAGTAACAAACGGCTGTTTGGATAAAGATTATTTTTCTAGCTGTCACTGATATGTTTACATTAAATGTTGTGTACAAATACTGCAACCTTTCCGATCACGTTTTGTAATAATGTGCAATAATGTGTAACTGTATATGAAATTAAACTGCTTGTTATCATTCAGATCCTTAACCGGAGATTCTGCGTGTGTGTATCAAAATGTACTCAAGTTTTGATAACCGGGAAAAAAGACCCTGAATCAGTGTTGAATACGGCTGGGAAACTTATATTTGTTAATCATTGTCTCCAATAGCTTACAAACGAGGTTTCCACTCATTTACAGCGCTTTTGTGTGATGTAAAAAATCACAACAACAGTTTGATCGTAGATGTTGCTGCGATCTCGGAAGATCGTTACGGTTTCATTGTGATCGTAACAGAGGTTTCCAATGTGTCACTTTCGGTTTCTACACACTGCTATTGCACTGTTATCACTGTACCGTATACCACCGCCAATATAGGGCATCTAGCAAAGATTTGTTTTAGAAATCCTAATGCACCTATCAAATTCTTGAATCTTGAACACCTCCCCTTCTTAGTGAGTTTCATAAATTAAGTCTACCCACGGGTTTATGTGTATTTTTTTACGTCTCACTGTCATAGCGGGAGCTGGTGGCACCGTCAATTGGAAAACAGAAATGTCGTATTGTGCTTAGTGTGTTATCATGGCTTTCCGCAACATAATTTTACACATTTACTTATAAAGTTTAACTTGCTTTTAAATTTTCAGACCAAATTTTGTTGTTGATTAAGAACATATTCTTTATAACAATTAGAACTGGGTAACAAAAATCCAATTTAACTCCCCCCCCTCCCCTGTATCTACCCACTTGTCTACTTTCAAAAAGCGAGGACATGTTTATAATTTAATTAGAAGTTTATTTCCATAATCTAGTGATTTTTCCAAAGTTTTACAGCTACACATGTGACAAATTAATTTTATTAGTCAAAAGCTTACCCAAGCAAAGAGAGGGCAAAACAGCCGTTATATTAATAACACTGTGTTGGAAGATCAAAGCTTTCTTATCAAGAATAATTCATCTTCTGTGATAAAATTCCTATTTCAGGTAAACTTGCCAATAGCAGCTTGCTTGGCCAAGACTATACTTCTGATAACCCTCATATATTACATTAAAATGTATTCTCAAAGAAAATTTAGAAAACTAATTTTTGTTGGTTTTTTTCAGAGTTGAGAAACAACAGTTAGAGGCAATATTCCAGCTCCTTCAAAATCAGCAAGAAAAATATCAAGTTTCATCAATGGAAGAATTAGAAGACCAACTTAGACTCTATCGTTAGATTTTACAAAAGTCAAGGTTTTTGTAGGTCCTATTACCTATGTTGTACATATTGTATTATTAACAATACATGTGGCTTTAATTAAATGTTTTAAATTATAATGCCTAATTAGTCTTTTATACTAATTTAGATTTATTTATTGTTAATATATTACCTGTATAAAATATATTTTATGAGATCAATACTTTGTTCAAAACTTGAATAAATGTTTTCAATGTTATTTTTTTATATTTTCTTTAATAAATTCCATATCACTCTTATCTTGTGTGTTATATTGCTTGAGCATTAACTATCCCAAGGAGGTTATTAGCTTTCTATCTTCTATGACTCAGTTCTTACAGTAGGAAATGTGGAAACTATTTTCAGGAGGGCAATAATAGTATATTTCATCACCAGGGCATTTTTCGACCCGAGCTCTGTGAAGCCAGAAAATGAGAGAGGGGTTTATTAAGAAAGTTAGAAAACAAAAATACTTTTCATGAAAAATAACATTACTTTCAGTTAATTGTTTTCAATTTTGCTAAAACGGAAATAAGCAGATGTTTAGTCAGATTGTGTTAGTGTACATTATCGATATGTTGACCTAATTGTCAAGAATACTAAAATAAGCTACCACCAATTATATCCACCGACACAATTAATTATCATGATTCTATAATTCCGTCTATTACAATTGTGATAGTGTATTGATAGTGTGTGTTATTGATATGTTGACTTAATTGTAAAGAATGCAACAATAATCTACCACCAATTAAATCTTATTAGCAAGTTATTAACAAGCAGACTAAAATAGTTTTACTTATTCTCCAAAAGCATAACATGGGAGTTTTTAATTTACAATCTTTAAAATAGTTTCCGTAACTAATATCTGTACATAAATGCTTCAATAAACTAACTAAATTGTTTGTTGTTTTAAGCTCTCCAAAATGGTTTGAAGAAATTAAAAAGCTCATGATTTGAGGGTCATAAATGAAAAACCCCAATTAAATTTTACCCAATATATCCCCCCCCATTCCCATGGTCCAATCAAGCTGGTTTACCAAATTTCATCGAACTCTGATCATTTTTGCTTGAGTTAGTGCTAATGGACACATATATATGAATTGGAACGGATTGTGTCTTTGGTCTTTGGGCACATCAAAACGTAAAAGTAAATCGGTCCTGAGTCCAGGTATTACCATGAGACCTACGGTAATAGCTTATTCCCTAAATGGAAAATTCACTAAAATGAAATAGTAGCGAATCCAATTCTTTAAGTTAATATGAGCTTTGTCTGTGTTGTTTGTTTGTAATATTTTTCTCATAACCCAGTGGAATGAATTGGGCTAAAACCCCTAAACTTTAGTGTGACAATGGGAAAATATTAATATTTGTGTCTTATGTAAATGTAAACTATTTTTTTTTTTATTTGACTTATGTCACATGTGTGAGTTCTAGGGCCTACTATTTATTTAAATTAAATTGGATTCCTCACGGAGTTCAAGTAGAAATAAAACTTTCTCGTCCGTGTATAGATCAACTTTCCAGAGTTTCATAGCGATCAGATGGATTTAATTTAATTTATTATTTAATTGAATTTTGAATTCTTATTAGGTTTGAAATCAGCATCCCATTATATAGGTCTTGCTACCACGTCCATTTCATGTTCAGAGCATTAAGAGGTCTGACTCAAAAGGGGGTAAACAATTCCCGACATTATAATTTTTTTCTGCGCACACGAGGGGAGTATTTCCAGTCCTAGAAGGAAAACTGGTAAACTATACTATTATTTTATTTTATTTTGCTTCCGGTCCAAACAAACCAATTTTTTTTTTTTTACAATTCATAATTTAATGTAACTATATCTAAGGCCGGGGCCACACAAGGCGGATTATCCGCGCGGACGATCTGCGCGGATCATCCACATGGTCCGACAACACATTGAATCAAATGAGAGTGGCCACACGATCCTAAGCCGCCTGGGCGGATTGTCCATGTCATGTCGTCGATTGTCCACGCGATCATAAGTCGCGTTGGAGGGGATGACACACGTAGTCTTATGAGAGTGGCCACACGATACTGTACGGATTGTCCGCGCGGTTGGAGCTCATTTTCAAGCATTTGTAGTTGTTTTTTTTTTTTGTTTGTGCTTGTGCGTTTCGGTTTATAGGTGTAAAATGTTCGATACAGACAAATTAATAGAACTTGTTAAAGACAAACCATGTCTGTGGGATTTATCATGTTGTATTTCATGTTGTACATTTCTCATGAGTGTATCTTCCTTAGTTATATGATGCGGTCGAAGCAATTGAAGTAGCTCGTCAAACGATGCTATCTACATGCGATAGTAACCAAAAAAACTCTGAATTATGGTTTCGCATGTCCTCATAAAAGGTTTGGAACTTATCGGTTGTGAAAGGATGGACCCAATGATTTCGGTTAACCTTAGGCTCTAGCTCACCACACGCTTCTAATGCACAAACTAACATAAGTGTTTCGTCCATGACTACCATGAGAACGAGTTAATTAAACCTTGTTCTAATCTTACAGTACGTAGGCTGGGAAACCCCAACCGGAAGCGGTTCATCCGCTCCGTGTGGCCGGGACATTGTCGCGCGGACGATACGCCCCGTGTAGCCCCGGCCTAAGGGTTAAGTGCAATGGGACCTATGTCATATGTCCCATGACATATGCACCTATGTATACTGACAGGGGGTACAATTCTAGGGGGATACAATTACACCCCATACACTGACCAAATAAGCCTCGTTGCAAATTAGGGGAGACAATTCCGCGGGCCGTCCAGTTTTTAATGGTATGCCGATGGATATAATGAAACCAATAGTGCATACCAATATCAATGTTTTATTAAGAGGTACAACTCCGACCCGCCTTGGTACATTCTGTGCTGGCAATGTTTTGATCAAGAAAATGAGACAGTGACGCCACCTGGGTGGTGTACAATTCCAGGGGGGAACAATTGTATAGCGCCTCGTTTTCCTAGTCACGAATGGATGAGAACCTCTTTAGAGAAGGAGTGGGGGGCATGACGTCACTCTTCCCTTGAGGGAACACCATTACCGTATAACGAGATGATATGATTCCATCGGTGTTCGTGGCGTCTCGGACTGGTATTCTGGAGGTCTCCAGATTGAATCCCGGCGGGGACACAGACTTTTTGTCAAAAATTTGTCTTAGAATGCAAATACTTAACTGATCATCTTTTGTTAGAATTTGAGGCATTTATAATTTTATTTACGAATAGCACTATTTTTTTTTTAAATTAGTAAACCTTCATTCGATTTTTATTTTATATATTTTTTTTATATTATCAGCAAGTTTGATTAGGTAATGGCAGTTTAATTTTATAATAAAACATTTTAAAATTAATTTTATAATTAAAAATTTTGAGTAAACCTTCATTAAATTTTTATCTCGATTTTTTTTTATATTATCAGCAAGTTTGGTTGGTTAGGTTATGACAATTTAATTTTACAATAAAAATTTTTCAATTAATTTTATGATTAAAAAATTACTTCATATTAAAAAAATTATATTTTATAATAAAAAAATAATTTTATAACTAAAAAATTAATTTTATAACTAAAAAATTAATTTTATAATTTAATATATAATTGTATACCAATTAAATTTATAACTGAAAAATTATAAAATAAATTTAACGTTTTTCTTAAATTGACGTGAGGGGCTATCCCACAATCCCCCACTCCTTCGCAGAAAAGGTTATAATCAGTTTCAATCGAGGAAAATGAGACGCTAGGTGAACAATTAATTCCACCACCCACATAGCTCATCAGCTGAGGTTTACCAAAACTTCAATCAGCTGATAACCTACATATATTAAAAAAAGTAGTGGGAGAACTTCACCTCAAACCACTTAAATTTTGTGAACAGAGTAGGTCTATGATCTGATGACAAAATAAATTAGTCTGGGCCATGGTGGAAGGAACTTCCAGGACTGAACTTGGAGAACCAGGAACTTGGAGGTTGGAGGTGAAGTTCTCCCACTAGTTTTTTTTTAATATATGTAGGTTATCAGCTGATTGAAGTTTTGGTAAACCTCAGCTGATGAGCTATGTGGGTGGCGGAATTAATTGTTCACCTAGTGTGGAAGTTCCTTCCACCATGAGTCTGGGCTAAGATTATGCAATATAAATAATATTGCAATTATATCATTGACTTTATATCTACACAATATGTAGATATAAAGTCAATGATAATATATTGAAATAATATTGTTTCATCGGATCCGGCTGTGGGCTGTTCAATGAAATAGCTGGTCTTAGTCAGCAACAAAGCTACACACACAAGACATGCCACTAAATTCTACTAGGTACCTTTATACATATTTGGGTTAAAATACGCACCTAGGTGGTGGTCATCATCTCAATTAGTAATACTGTATACATATATAAAATAAAATCTACACATCTGAAATCAATAATCCATCGTTCTAGTAATATGTTTTATCGATGGTTCTATGGGTTCTGTTCTAGTTCTAGGTAGTGTTCTTTAATCAGTCAATTAATTGTTTTACAACAGACTGTTGGCAATCCTGTTGACCATGTGACTTTCGATTTTGGTCTTGGTCGGAAAAATAACAATAATAATTAGAGATCAAGGCCTTTGAAATTTCTTCGTTTCTTCTATGAGTTCAGTTTCGTCTGCCCTTTTCTTTCCATTATCAATATCATTACTGATTACCGATTCGATTCGTCCGGTTATCAGGTTTTAGTAATTCAGAATTTATTAATAACTCGATTTGTAATAATTAAATTCACAGTTCAAATAGTTTTCAGTGATTTTTTATAAATTGTTACGTAATGTACACCGTTTCCAAAGGTCCGAGTAAGATTGTCCACAAAACCCGTCGAGGTAAGTTCTATAACTAATATTTGCATGAGCTACAATAACTACTTATTTGGAATGTAGGAACTGATAAATTGCAATAATAAATAAATAACAATTAAACGCTTCCTCTGCTGTAGGGCTAAGGTTATCAATGCCCAATGGCCGCCGTACTTAATTTCCTTTCAGGCTTTATTTTGGTTAGGCCAAATTCTGTAGTAAAGTCGCAGGGTTCATTAGGCCTATAAGCATTGGCTTTTTATTCTTTGGGCAAAAATACATTTTGTATTTCATCCATAGGGTAGACTTCCGTATCTGTTGGCAAAAACAACCAAATGAAAATATTGATTACTCGATTGTTTCATTCGATAACTTATATCGTTTAAGGTTAACCTTACCTAGAACTAACCATTCGATATATCGATCAATATTTTCATTCCGTTACGCTATCTATCGTTTGAATATATCGATTCGATTCCTAAACCTTCATTCAAATTCTTAAAACTAGGCCTAGGCCTATATCAATTATAAAATGAAACTGTTATAACCTAAATAACCAAACTTGCTGAATAAAAAAAATCTAATGAAGGTTTAGGGCCTACTAATCAAATGGATATTTTCAATCGATAGTAGTGTAGCCCAGTTAAGAAACTGTACCCCTTTTTTATGCCTCAGATATTTAAGTCCTGTAGTCAGCTTTGCAGGATCTATATTTCTTTATTTTCTTCCTTAAGTTAGCTAATACATTTTTGAAGACATGGCTGTGGGCATCAACATTCTTTCTTCCGAAGGTATAGGCTATGCTAATTTACTTAGCTTATTCATGATTGTTTTCTTTTAATCTGGTTAAGCCAAACTATCTATTATCAATTATCAATCATTGAGATGGGGACGCCACCTAGGTGCGTATTTTAACCCAAATATGAGTGTAGAATGGTGTGTGATGACCTGTGTAGTTTTGTTACTGACTAAGATCAGCTGTTTCATAAGTCAGGATCATTTATTTAAAGCCCAATGATCAGGAACAGCTGGGTCCAGTTTCGAACCATCAAAAAGCTACGGTACTGACTTTTCTCAGGATCGAACCGGCGACCTTTTGATTACTAAGCGAGCACTATAACCACTCAGCTACTCAGCCAGTTAACCCTAGCAGTGGCCAATGTTAGTGGGGAATGAATGGCCAACCCATTTTGGTGATTTTGCAGAACTTTTTTAGAAAATTTGTACAAATTCAACTGTACAAGTAAACCTACCCAACCTCATATTCATTTTGTTCGGAAAGAACAGGATAATCTTGAAATAGCAATATAATAATGATTTAGATAGGCTAGTGCATTTTTTTGTTAAAGTGAAAAAATAAAAAAATTAGAATTTTATTTTTGAAATTTCAAAAGCAGCCAAAAATGTAAAAAAATTGTTTACAGATTTTTATGGGAAATTCATTATATACTATTTTTAGACAATCTAATTCCCTACATAGAAATAGGCCTATATATCATGTTAGAAAAATATTTTTTTATAAGTTTTTGGGGCAAAACATAATAACAAACGGAGAACCAAAAAAATTGAAAACCGTACAGTGTTAGTTTGTGTTGTAAAAAGTTATATGTGTATACATAATGATATATACATGTTTGTATAGAGCTAATTAAGTAAGGAATCCAAAAAAGTCATAAAGTTAATGATAAAAATAATTTTTTATTTATAAATATAAAATAATGTTTTTGTGTTTTAGCGATTTTGTGAAAAAAAAATCATAGTATTTAGTATAAAACTTTTGTACAAAATGTTTTTACTTCAAACTAACATAATAATTTTGTAGTGTATTCAATTACCTACATAGAAATCTATAACATGTTGGGTTACAATTTTTGTTTTTACGTGTTAGGGGACATAATAAAAAAATAAACGGAAAACCTCAAAATACAACCGCAAGAAAAATACAACCTTTTATAAACACAATTTCACACTATTCAGTAAATATTCATGAACTAGCTGTGTGCCCGTTCTACGCACGGGGATCTTATAGTAGTCAGTTGAAACCTTCTTATATTAAGATTAAGAACAGCAGTTAGTTTGCATATTTGAAGATATGCTGGCAAAACTATTATATATAAACCTTCGCAAATACAGTATCTGACAGTTCAAGCCAAAATAAATGCTTCGCAATTAAATGTCACCCGGATCGTTATGGTCCATATGTCCAATGATTATACTAAAAAATGTTTTATAGATCCATGAAGCGTCTAGCCCTAAAGTAGGCCTCTAATTGAAAGTTACTTTCCACATCGGTTAACTTCAACGTATTTAAAGTACTACCTCAACCTCACCATTTAACACTTTATTCCGGTTGACATTTTCAGTATCAAAGGTGCTCTTGTCCATTCCGTGAAACACTGAGAAATAAGGACATTAATGCGTTACCAACAGACATACACACAACAATCCAAAAAAGGTCACGAACTATTGATACATAAACAATATAAAGGCGTAAACAATTCATGATGGTTTGCCCATCAAATGTTTTACTCAAATAGGTTATCATTTTCTTAGCATACCGGGTAAGCTAAGATTTGGAATCCAGACAGAAAAAGCAAAACTTATACAGAGTTAAGACATCACTTAAATTGAATACGGACGGCTCTAATAAATAAGGTGCAACACCAACGATAACTAATTTGTAAACTACAGTGATGTGTTGGTACCTACGTAAAAATGATTCTAGCAGCTACCAACGGTTCTAAGGAAAAGAACCAGTACCTACGTAAGAACCTACCTAAGAACTATAGTACATCCGACCAATTAAATACATTAATATCTAGTCCCGAGGTTATTGATCTCTTACTTTTGGATTTTCTTGTAAAAAGTTATAGCGTAAACTTATCGGTGTCAGTTTGAAAAAAAAAACAACCTTACCCAAAACAACTTGTTGTTATTTAATAGATTACGCATTCTCTAAACAATGATTAGTATATCTATTAACATTAGAAGGAAATGTGACGAAAATCACACAATGTTGGGGTTTTGGTCATTTGTAATTATATTTCTTAAGTAGGTAGGCCATGTATTCTATGGAAAAGTACCGGTATCAAGGATCGTCGTCAAAAAGGTTGTTATGAATAAATATGTAGGCTTACGTACCCAAGATATGAGCTATGGGCCTATTGGCTGTATGGTCCAGCGATTGCATCACACGGTGAGTAGAAACAGAAAGTGACACATTGGAAAAGCGAGTTTAGCACTTCCTCTGTTAAACCTCTGTTACAATCACCCACTGCAGTTGTGATTTTTTACTTTACACTTTACACAACCGCCATTGAAGCGCCGTCAATGAGTGGAAACCTTTTTTGTAAGCTATTGGCGACGATCATTTCAGTGTCCAGCCCTATACAACACTGATTCAAGGTCTTCTTTCTGGTTGTCAAAACTCAAGAAACATTTTATACTCAAAGAATTTCTGGTTCCGATTTGGATGATGTCTAGTTATTTAATTTCATTTACGGTTACACTATTAGACTATATTATTGCACTTGCGATTAATTAAATCCGTTATGTAAGAAAAACGTTTTTAATCTCACTTGGTTGGGATTTGCTTTCAAAACGTGATTCGAAATGGTTGCGGTATTTGTAAACATATCATTGACAGCTAGAAAAAATTATCTTGATCCGAACAGCTGTTCGTTATTTCATAGACGATTATGTGATAAAAATTGAACGAAAATTTGACAAAAATCGCACAAACTGCATTTTTGAACGTCCGTAATTTTATTTACAAAGTAGTGAGGCTATATTTAAATCACTAAAGACACTCTTGCCAATCCAGTGAATACATTAAAATGACTTGGATCTTGATAGGTACTCTGGTTTTCACGGAGAAGATTGCGTAAAATGCCATCTTGAGTGTTACAGACAAAGGGAAAGACAGACAGACAGACAGAAATAGAGATAAGACTCGTTTCTGCTTCTTTAATGTATAAAACGTAAAAATAACCTAAAAGTATATAATTCTGAGCAAAGTACAGACAAAACTCTAATTTTATTTATATAGATAGATAAAAAATGCATGAAGATTACTGTTGTATACACACACACACATTTCTCTAACGATACAAAATAATAATGAATTTAGTAATAAATCGCGGTTAAAACGAGAGCAAAAACTCACCGGCAACAACACGCAATGGCAAATACAAGGCACTTGGTGTATGAGACCTTGACAGTAGTGACGCACTTTCGTCGTCTTAGTGAGAGAAAACGGAAATATCCCTTAGCGCAGGGCTGCCACTATCACAAGCTACATTTCTTCCTCTTCAAAATGACATATTATATGACTAGTAATAATAACTTACGCTGTATGTAATTAGTTTTTCCGTACTAGCGTATTGGTACTTGGTATATGGCCATTTGTTATACATTTCTAAAACAGCTGTTTTTATAAAATCGTACAATAGTGTGCAATCAATATTTTTTTCTAAATATCAATACCACAATGAAGATAAAATCAATGGCTATCCAGTGGTACCTTCCGCAACATCCCAAGACGAAAATTACCCAAGCAGGGTAATGCCAAACAAGTCGTGTTTTGACAGTTCCCAAGTGTCAGCTGCAAAAGTCGTGCCACGCCAAAAATTCATTTGATTTCCAACCGTTGTGACATTCTGATATAGGTACCTGCTACAGGGTTTGTTTATATAATAAAATGAAAGTTCAGAATGTGATATTTCGAATGGTATACCGGTATATTGTTCATATCAGAGTTGATTATAAGCAGTTTTTTAACCGTTGAACAAATTTCGGCCCATACTATCGTATTACGCTGGTGGCCATTCTAGGCGTCACGGCGAACGAGCGTATTACGCTTGTTGGCCACTGCTAGGGTTAATCTGTTCTCTAGTGCCTTCAAACCACGTTTACAACTTTAGGGAAAATTCCGTTAAAAATAATAAAAATTTCCTAATTTAAGGTTCTAACGAGTAACCATAAATAAAAACCTGTTTTATTCTCTTCTTACAAGACTGTATTAGGCTTTTCTTAAATTTTTGTCATATGATCACACAATGTGTCATAATCCTTAACCTCCTTTATTTTCATTGAAATGGCTTTCATTTTAGGATCACTGTCTAAGAAAAAACAGTAGAAATACTACCATTTTTGTAGGAGTGTACCTAACCATTGTGTGATTTATTCCAGGTATATCCCAAAACCTTGATAGGTTAGAAAATTCAAGAGATTTCTCCAAAAAGTGGGTTGAAAGTCAGAGTGAGCCTTCCTCACCAGATGATTGGACGATACGGTGAGTAAATTAATATTTTACTTTGGTACTTAGTTATGAACTACTAGCGAACCTGGCGCACGTAATCCTGCACAATCTAGACATAGGAGAAGAAGAATTTGTATTTATCTTTTTTATTTGGAGTTTTCTGGTTTCTTTAATTTTGTTGTCAAAGGTGGGGATGGTAAAAGGCCTTTTGAGTTCGTTGTTGAGTCTTAGGATTCGGCCTCTTTCAAGGGAGTATTTCATTTGATCCAAAATCGTTTGATCCACCGTTTATATTGCCGATCGTTTGATCCAAAATTGTTTAATCCACCAGTTAAAAAGCTAAGAGTAAATAAGTCTTAAAATTGCATCTACATTCTAAAAACCCCATAAAATACATAGTTTTCTTATTTTAAAATTGTCTGCCATTTTAGGAAAATGGCGTCCATTTTTGAAATAATGGAATCATTTTTTTTATGTTTTTAATGGTCACAACTTAATTCCCCATTTGTGGTGCTTCTTTTTGGGGAGGTATTGAGTCAAGGAAACACGTTTTTAGTGTGCATCAGAGATTCGTCTACAGATAATGCCTGAGAAGGATAGTAATAGAGCTTGAACAGTCTATTAGCGTGATTAATTATTGGCTGGAACCAGAGAGCACAGAATAGAAATAGAGAGGGCATCGGGCAACTGAAGTGAAGCCACCTGAAAATCGGCGTTGCCCGTATAAGTGGTGGGGAGAGCAATGAGTCATCCTAGTTCCCTGCGAGTTGCTACCAGTTGCTGCAACATTCATAGACTGATGCATGTAACTGGAGTCAGGAACGGTACAAAACAACATTTTTATAATATTAACAAGTGTTGGAAACCAAGCATGTAGTTTATTTTCCAAATTATTTATGTGAACGTGTTTATGTTGTAAAAATATTTGTAAAATATCCAATTTACCGTGGTTAATGGGTTTTCTTAATGTGTAATTGTTTCATTGGCATCTTAACACGATTTTTAATATATATATAGATCGAGTACTGTACAGAAAAAAACATTCAAAAGCATGAAGTTTATTTATATTCGTACATGTGTTATATTTGAAATATAACAAAATAATGTAAAAAAACCCATTATTGTCGTTGTTTTATTTTATGAACTAATACTATATGGGACCAAGCTTTAGAGAAATTGCAATATCATAGAAAGTTCTCTAATCGTTATATTTTAAACCATATAGAACTAAGCTCATATAGTTACACAACAATGATGATTTAGTCAACTTTCTGGTTTATATTTTGTGGTTAATAGTCATTAAGTACGCGACGAAACAATATTAACACGGATAAAATAGCTATTTTATGAAATAAATATATTATTTATATCAAAATCAACTTAGAGTGCAAATCCTGTGTTTTTGTAATGTGTAATTAATTTATTGCCATTTACACTTGATTTGTAGTTGTTTGAGCAAAGTAAAACAAACACAAAAGCATATTTTTGTTTTTAAGTTAGCCTTCATGAAAGTCGATTTAGGCACCATCTAACAAACGTTGCACCATTTTTGGGACAGTAAAAGTATTTTTGAACAGATTTACAGCATTTTGTTGTCAAATGTTTTATGTTTAATGTATTATTAATGTAATTTACCGTGAAAAATTATGTATTATTGTTATGTGTAATTGGTTTATTCATTGCCATTTATACATGATTTGTAGTTGTTTGAGCAAAGTTAAACTTACCCAACAAAATAAATTTGTTTTAATATCCTTATTAACAGTTTGTAAACAGGCTTCAATGTATTGTTCAATATAGGACCGATTTAGTCATCATTTAGTTATTAATTATTACACAAAATAATAATTAAATTAACGTGAATAGCAATTGTATGTATACAAATGTTACCGTGCTTATATTATAAATGTATAAATTAGAATGAATATTGAATGCATCAATCACTGTATGCGTAGTAGGGTAGTAGCATTGACTATATATACCTATGTATATATAGTATATAGTATATATACCTGTAGGTATATATAGTCAATGGTAGTAGTGAGAGACCTGTAGTCGCAAGGCAGCGCCCGAGTGTCGGCGGGTCCCAAATTTTGCTTCCTCTTCTACCTGATTTATTTCCAAAACTGTTCATCATTAATTTTTCCAAAAAATATATGTTATGATTCAACTCAAGCTCTCAAACTTTGCCGCTGACAAAACTTTCCTGACCAAAAAATTAAAAAATCTAGATCACTTACTTTTTTATGTTCTAATTCATAATTTAATAATTTCTTTAGGTTTTAACGGCTGTTAAAATTACAATAAAATTATTTTTAATATTCCTACCTTACTGTCAGTGAGAAGCACTAATTTATAGTAGTTGTGCCAAATTTGGTAATTTTAGGTCTACTCTAAAGGTGATCTATCGCTATATGCAGCAGTTGCCGCCACTTGCCCGTCTAAGTGGTGGGGGATTGGCTACACTCCCGCAATGCTTGCTGGATACGTAGCCCCTCTATTTCTATTCTGTGCTCTCTAGCTGGAACCTGCTACAAGGGTCATGCATACCCAGGCTCCCCTAATGTAGGTGAGCTACAAACATGAAAATTATCACGGGGCATCATTTTTGAAAAAGGTGTGGCCTGGCTAATATGAGTATCCCAGTACAGCTCGAGGCATCTAAGCTGGCACTTGGCCTAGTGGGGACAGTGTAGGCGGGAGGAGGGTGGAAGCAAGGAAAAGACCGGACTGCAAACATTTCCGCTGCCTCACGGGGTTGACTCCCCGTGTATTGTGTACTTCAGCGCCTTCACGTGAGTCGCGAGGGCAGTTGATGCAACCCTCACGACAAGACATAATGTTTTTGAACTAGCTACTAGGAAAGATAGGCCAAGTGCCAGCTTAGATGTCACGAGCTGTAACTCATTATACTGGGCTTACTTATTAGTCCCATATTTATAATAATGGCTAAAAAGACTTTCATCTCAACAACGGTAACATTTATCCATCTACTTGTACGGCTGAATGGACAATCCATGCTGCTCCCTTGCAATGAAGTCTGTTGCATATTGATTAATTGCACGAACAAATGTTTCGAGCAAGGTGGTAGTAAAAAACAAACTAAAATAGGAAAGGGGCCTTGAGTTTACTGGAGGACAATGTTTGGGCCCAGAAATTTCTGCAAACTGAATTCGATGGTTATAAGGCTCGTCACTGCCTTCTTCTTCTTCATCTCAAGAGGTGCTATCGTCATTTTCAGATTAATTTTGTCCAGGCGTATTTATAGGGGCATTCCTACCCCTACCTCTATTTCCTCTAGGCCTTCTACTACCCCTAGACCCTCTATTGCCCCTAGACCCTCTTGTATTTGATCCTGAACCTCTTGCTGACATAGGCCTAGTTGGTTGTAAAGGCTCATCTGCTTCAGAATCGGAACTATCATGATGAGCTGCAAGTCTGGTTTTAAACAAAGGCAAACGCCTGTTACCTCTATATGATGAGCAAGGTTGAGGGTAATCAGGATTGAATGAAGGGTCCTCGTCAGTGTCATCAACTACAGAATGACTAGAGGCCAAACTATTAACAGTTGTTTCCTTTGTTGCCACTTTCTTCAAAATTGATGTTTAGCCCGGCTTCTCTTACAAAACTTGCTAACGTGTTTTCACTGACAGGTGAATTTTAACGTAAATTACTCATAACTTATTTTAATTTACTCCAAAAAAGCATAAAGTAATAATTCACATAACCACAAACAACAACTGAACTGAGACAGAAACAATAGTAACAGCTGTATTGTGCAACAGCGTAGTAGTCAACAGACGCCACAGCGGCCACGGCGCTCTGTATTTCAAAGCTGTAAATATGACAAAACTGTACTATATAAAATGTCAAAATGTATATTATATTCTGAAAAAGTATTTATTTACCTTGAATTTAATGCAACTTGCGTTTCGATATTTAAAAAATCAGCGCTACAATAAAAAAAGTTCTGAACCACAATGTATCGTTCCTTAGCACTTTTCGGGAACAAGATGAGGAACGATAAATTGTTCCATAGCACCTAAAGGGTCAAAGAAACAATTACGCAGTTTCAGTTCATCCAGTGCATAGTGAATATTTTACAGTTTATTTTAACTCGATAAACACTTTAATAATGCCACGAGGTTCTTTTTTTATAGGACCATGTTTACGTGGTAAACAGCCGGCGGGTGGAACCCTTTAATAGGTTGATACGTGGTACCTAAACTACCCATCGTCTTGCTTCATTAAATTAGGCTATCATTAATTATGTTTCATTATGCTAGCCTCCAAAACTGTGACTGGTATATGTGTAAGTTTTTAGATACCTACATCGAAGTATTTGTTTTGTGATTCAATGTATGTTTATTACAGAATCGATAAACCAGTGTTCCACAAAAAATCAAATGGAATGAGGGCACAACAAGAGGCAATAAGCCCCCAACATGAAGAGATCATTAAATTCATTCATGAATGTGAGTAAGGACATGCATCCTCATATCATGTAACTTAAGCAGTAGTAACTTAACATTAGTTGATGATATTTATTGTTTTAATGAAATACTTATTAATTAATTGTGAAACAATTCCTGATTCAGAAGCCAAACATAATATTGCAAAAAGAAGTGTTTATCAATCGATAAAAAATTTCACCTTTCATGAAACACAAGTTTAATGATTTACAAAATTGCATTGTTGTTTATATTGTTAAGATTTGGTTGGCACAAGGCCTATTGTTCTACAGTAGACTCCCTCTTATCCGGACACCTTTTAACCGGACATCGGTTTAACTGGACTACACTTGGCGGAAATGACAACTCTTTAACCGGACAATTTTTATCAGCACATTGGTTTAACCAGACTAGATCGGCAGGAAGTGGGCAGTACTGAAACGACTGTTCTCGTGGGAAAGATTTGAGACCATTGATCACGTGTCTAAATACAATGCTCTCCTAAATTTAAGTCGAATATCGCAGTAAACAGTTGTTTTTAATGAGTTTTTACGGACGTCGGTTTAACCGGAAAACCCGTTATCTGGACTGGCCTCGGTCCCGAGGAGTCCGGATAAGAGGGAGTCCACTGTATTTGAAGGAGATTGCAGGACCTCATTTAAGAAAGATTCATTCATTTCAAACTTTTAAACAATTTTGAAAGAAATAATGATGTTGTACATTAATTTATTGCCTTTTGCTTTGTAATATCACGAATAATTGTCTGTGGGGAGAGGGAGTTATAGGAATGGTTGAGGAAGGAAAGTAGGGGTCATAGCCTTATATAGCTCCCTAAGGTTCTATGTACAGCCTAGACAGCAATTATTAAAATGTTTTGAATCTAGCACTATATAAGTGATCCATACAGACTCGCCACCTATATAGCGTGTGAGGGAAGAGAATGAGAGTGAAGGTAGAGAAGTTAATTCATCCTTGTAGGTTTTAGTTCCAGAATTTCAACTCCTCAAAATTGGGAACCATTTGTGAATAAACCAGTAATAAAAAAGAAAATCATATTAATATAATCTTTATAAAGATTTTATATTTTTGCTTGATTGGAACTTTTCACTCTATAAAAGAAACATATTTGATTGAAAAAGTGTCATGCCAATTGAAAGGAAAAATTCTGTTTTTTGTGAGGGTTTAAAACTGCATGAATATATGACAATAGATTATTAGGCTACCTTGGCCTCTTGTTATCTATTAAGTAATATTTCTTTGTTAAACAATTGCTTTGACTGTAATTCAAAAGATAAGTGTCACAGGAAGAATGTAGTTGTTTGGGGTTATCTTTTTGCAATATTGTTATCTAAAGTTCATTTTTTATCTTAAGTTTCCTGTATATAATCAATTTATTAGGTGTCTGGGCCATTAATTTTTTACTGTTTTTCTTTTTAGTTACACATATTTATTTTTTATGCCTTAACATGGTTTCTAACACCAATAATAATAGTATGGTTTTCTTAGCAGTGTAGTTTTATGTCATATTTATTTTAATCATCAAAAGGATTTATATTAAATTCAAACTGGATCTTGTAACTGTGGTTTTTTCACAGCATGGAGTTCGGTTTGTAAGGAATGTGATAAGGAGAATGGAGAATCGTCACAATCTGAACAAGTGAATGGGGAATCACATATGCCAAGTGAGATGATATTTTTATTTTTTTATATGTTGTTATATGATTCAAAAGTGTACTTTAAGCCATAACATATTGATGAAACTCTGTTTACTGTGCTATAAACAGATACTTTAAAATATGGGTCCAGTTTCTGTTGAATTGTAGGCATTTTTTAAAAATCTGGAATCAGTGAGTCGTCAGCAATGACAGACTGTGAAACCAAGGGCGTTCTGATGCTGCCACTTGAAACTGTTTAGTGTAATTCTTTTACTGTACAGGCTTTTCTAGATTCACTTGCTTTGCTAGATTCATTCCATGCACAGACATTTGAGGCATGTGAGGTTAAAAAGAGGCCTCTAACCTCTTATAAAAAACCAATAGATTCAAGTAAGGTTATAACAAAATGTTGTTGGTTTTCAAAACCTCTATGCATAAAACATTGAATGTTAGCTAAAGTAAATAGTGTTTCAGTGAAATTAGTTGATATCAGGCCATATTGTCAAATCAAATTATTCTTTATTTACAGTTTTGTCAAGAAATTACAATGGCGTCATTCAATAATATGAAATAAAACTAGTAGATAGATTTGACTGTGAAATTGCAAAAAACAAATTTCGGTTTTTAAGTTATTGTAACTTATGTTATTTTCCCATAAAAACCCCATAAAATAACAAAATATAGGATTTTGGGAAAAAGCCGGATTTATTAAAATTAATTTGTTATGGTCCTTATAATTCTAAACACAAATAGTGCAACCTCCCATTTCTGTTAGAATTACGGTTGAAAAGTTATTGCAACTTTTGTGATTCATCCCTATAGAATATCATAGTTACTCGCACCGCTTACCCACGATAAAGGTTGTTTACAAGCTTATGGGAGAAAGTATGTGTTAGTTTGCTGATACCGTTTATTTTTATTTTTAGTTTCATTGTGCTAGGAATGTTTGTTAAGTCATAAATAGATCAAGGAGACACAATTTTTATAACCAAACGTTTGTGCAAATGTATTGTTATTGAAGGATTTCATTAACCCTTTCAGTGCTATGAAACGATATATCGTTGTTTTAAAAAAAACCTAAGGGATATAGAGAGGAAGGTTATTTAAAAAAAAAATAGCAAAACGGCCATTGGTGACCTGCATGTTCATAGGATACACTACCAACCACTTAGCTAAAAGATTCGCCCAATCCGATGATTTCGAGGTGTATGTCTAAACCAAGGATTATGAACACCTCACTATGCCCCAGTGGTTGTAGTATATCGCTACAAACACACAGGTCACCAATTATTTGCCACATAGGACGGGATTCGAACCCGAGCAGACGAATGCCACTGGCCAAGTGACACACGCCCTAGCCTTCTCGGCTATCTGTGCTTGAAGACTGGGGAGTCAAAACCCGGTATTTAAGCTGTCGCCACCGATTGCGAACAGATGGCGCTGCAGATGGTTGTTCAATGCGTTACTAGGTAGCAGCACCAGCTAGTCACGGACTATTTAGATGCAATCTTTTAGTTTTAGTAGTAGTAAATGTGTTCCTGAGACTTTGCTGCAAAACATTAGTTTCCCTAAAATTGCTATATTACAATAACCTCGTCCAACTAAATCAGGGTTAAATTCAATATTACATTGTAAACTATATGTCTTTTGATTTTGTAAGATTTCGGTTTCAAATAATGCTATCAGAACACAAAAATTTATTGGAAAACCAGGAAAATTACAACAAAAACTAAGTTTTATTTGATGTTTACTACAAATACCGGGATTTATCTTTCTTATATATTTTCTTATTGTGTTATTATTCAAAATTAGCCTAATTAATAAAATAGTGACAACATGACAGTTAAAATTCAACAACGGGTAATGGAATTAAAAGGCAAACAAAAAAGTTTTACAAAATATGAATTATTGGCCTAGCACTGAAAGGGTTAATGTTCTGCTTGATTCTACATTTCCTAAGCTTGTATCATTGTTGTTAGAACTGGTTCTTATGTCATTGTTTTTCTACATTGTTAAGGCCTAATTAACTTTGAGTCAACACTTTTCTCAGAAACAAATTGTTAAAATATTTACACAGTTATTCACTTAAACCAGTTTGCAGCATTTCTCTTACGTAAAACCTTTCCAGGTATTATTTAGCTGAAAGCCTGTTCAACCTGAATCACAGTAGCAGTAACCATGTGGAAAAAATGCAGTTGAATAAATTTTCAAGATTTATTTCAAACCAATAATCCATTAAAACATAGTCCTACCATAGATAAAACATACTACCTAAGTAGATTTATCATCCTTATGGAACAGCTGAAGCCAATTTTGTTGTTAGTTATGACCGATGGTGTACTGTTGTAGAGGCCTTGTTTTGTTTAAAATTTGTTTCTTGTTATTTCAGTAATTTAAAACTTCGTATAACCAAATAAAACAATCTAATTATAAACAATAACCCATTCCCTTGTTATATAACCAAACAGTAAAGCACAAATCTTAAAACTAACCCTAAAATAATAGAAACAAAATTTCGTCGACACTAGCGATCAGTGTCACCAGACATGATCTAGACACAAAAAACGAGCTTAAAAATTTACAATGGTATGAGAAGTCTACTTGTGTTGGTTAGTCTATGGTGTTACCTAATGTAACGGCAATCATATTAGTTTATTATTGATACAATTCTGTTACTACAATGGTTACTTTAGAGTTAAATAATACCTATGTATGTTTAAACGATTTTCATATATTTTAACAATTTGGAGATAAACATAAGTAAGATTTTCTTTTGCAGCCTTCAGTAAAATATATTCCGAATTGTAATTGATCACAAACATATTAATTGATCGGAGCGAAGCAAAGCTCTTATACTACACTCCTGCTTTTGTTTTACAAATACTCCTCCTGAATGGCTTAAGCGATCTGCACAAAATTTAGTACAGTCATAGTAACTAACCATGGGAAGGTATAAATCTGAAATGGTACATTTTCCCTACGTAAATTTAAACTTTTAGTAATTTAACACGGGCCTTATGGGTTAATTGGTCGCCATGATATTATTTTCAAGATAACAATAAAAGGGTAAACAAGAGTCGCAACATATGTTAGTCAACGAATCATCTAAAATATCAAATTAGAAATACCGTACAAAGAAAAAAGGAAGAAAAATCAATTAATATTAATATCATTGAGCATAATTTACCACAAAATGAATAGCCAATAATTAGGGTCGCCAGAATTAGGCTCCAGATTGACTTCAAATACTCCCAATAGCCTTTCCATTTATTTAAACCAAATATAGGCATACCATTGACTTTGGATACTGCAAATAGGCACTCTATTTATGTGAATCAAATCAACCATTGACTTTAGGATACGATACCGCAATTAAACAATTTGTTTACGTGAACCCGACATTGTCTTTGAGTACTGCAAATAGACATTCCATTTAGGTGAACCAGAAGTCAGCCTACCATTGACTTCGGATACTGGTATACAAAATATACCATTGACATTGGATACTGCAAGTTTATATATCTCATTTACGAGAAACAGATGTAGCATTGAATTTAGAAAATATTGGATTAATATGCTAGCTCCGCTCAATATTGCAAGCAGACGACAGCATTGTACACCTAGTTTCATACAAAGTCGTGTTCAAATCAAATCTTTATTAATCATTAATTAACATGTGTTTCAATATTATATTTTGTCAAATTATAAATAATCACCATATAAATAACTCAAAACACGACATAAGCTTTTTAATCATACAACAAAGTTTATCAGGAAATGAATCATTATATTCTGTACTCAAATGTTTTCTAAATCTTGATTTTCATTGTCATTTTCAGGTCCTTCAATAGTATACTACAAGGAGAATGAACCCAACCATCACCTTCAAGGTAAATTTGACTAAAATTTAAAATCTAACATTGGAATTCATTTAAGAGGCTTTTGAGGAATTTAAATTTATTCAACAAAAAATATTGAAAACAATTAATTGCCAAATTACCGAGAGTATGTCTGAGTACTAAGTGCCAGTAATAAACGCTGTTTAGATAGCATGTGTACTGCTGAAATAGACAATAGACAAAGCTTTATTGTACATAATGCCTGAATACACTAATTACAAAAATAATTCCCAAGCTGGTACATGGCTAATTTATATCTAGGTTCCTTAATTTTAATTATACCCTCCTAATAAGAGTGAAAAACCATTAAAATTTATCTTAAAAAAAAGTATGAATTTTGTAATATGCTTTCAGGCTCAAAGTCTCTTTCAGCTTACATGTAAAATTTGATTTTGATAAAGTTCTGTATGAATTAGGTAAATGATTTCATGTAAAGAGGTCTAGTTTCAAATTTTGTGTGACAGTGTTTAGGATATTGAAAATTTTTGTTATTATTTCTCGTTTGATAGTTATGATTTATTTTATATTTTTCATAAAAGAAAGGATTTGCATGAACATACTTATGTTTTTTGGAAAAAGGTTTACAGCTGGTTTTAGACTTCTGGTGAAAAATAGTTCTGAGAATAGACTTTTGGCAAGTGAACACTTTCTTGGCCTTTACATAGTTACCCCATAGAGTAACGCCATAAACAAACAAAGAGTAAACATATGCATGATAAACCGTCAAGCAAACTTCTATCGGTGTGACTTTGGGCCCCCAGAGGGGAGGTAACTGCCCGGTGTTGGAACCGGCACTTCAGGTAAGGCCACAGCTATGGACGACTGGGATCGCCAGCCCTCAGGGGAGCCCCCAGTGACATTCCTCCATCCAGGATGGTGGGGTGTTTAGCTCTCAGAGTGTAATTCTCTCACCTACCTGTGGCTGTGGTTCTATGGGCTTGCCCTGCCTGTTGTGTACGACTGACATTTTGTGAGGCATATCCTCGGCTCTGGAAGTAGCCTCTTCCTGGGAGGTGAAAGACGGGCAATTGCCAAGCCCCCAAAGGGGAGGTAACTGTTCGGTGTTGGAATCAGCATTTCAAGTAGGCCATAGTCATGGACGTCTGGGTAGCGCCAGCCCCTTAGGGGGAGCCTCCAGTGACATTCCTCCATCCAGATTGGTGGGGTGTTTAGCTCTCGGAGAGGTGGAAGTGCGCCATCAATCTCCCATCTACCTGTGACTATGGTTCTATGGGCTTCGGCCTGCTTGCTTTGTGCGACCAACATTCTGTGTGGCAAATCCTCGACTTTGGAAGTAGCCTTTCCTGGAGGTGAAATCGGGGGAGTACCCGTAAGCTCACGGGGACACTCTAGGAGAACGGAACTTTCAGCAGTGTGAGGGCAACGGCTGGGCGCACTCCATCAGCCAATCCCTGTCTCTGAGCCCGGAAGGTATGGTTATCTAGAGTGTGGGGGGTTCTCCATGGATCCTCAATTGAGTTAAGGGTGTCGCCACCTTTGGTGGATAGGTTCATCCGGGTGGGTCCCACTTCTATACCTGCCTCCTTTTGGGAAACCCTGATGGCCCGGCAGTGATGTTGGGTTAGATGGGCAAACGAAGTAGATCGGATGCTGGGATCAAGCCCGCTGTGGGTATCTGGGGCTCTATCGCCCTAGTTATCCCTGGTTTCCCAGTGAATGGGATGGCCTCGATCGGGTAGTGGTGTAAATAGGGGTTTAGTGTTCGCTGACAGTCCCCTTCATCCTGGCTTTGATGGCGGGTTATGGCCTTTCAGGGATTAGATCCCGATCAGGTCCCGAGTGTCGCTTGCACTATGTTGCGTCCATGGACTCCATCATGGTCTGTCGGGGTTTTCGGCCCTGGGGGAACCCAGTTGGAGGGACGTAAGACCAAGTAACCGGTATCCCTGGTTAGGATTGAGGGGCAACCCTCTTTCCGAAGGGTTGCTTCGGCAGCCGGTGAGCCTGATGACCTTAAGTCATCCACCCATGGTGTGACTAAGGTTGGTGCGTATACTCCGGCCCACACCATGGGGCCCGGGTATGTTTAATTATAGGTACTGGGTTGCAGTTGAGGGGCTTTGGCTCATTCGACACAAACAAAATGGAATGGAATGGTGTGACTTTGGATAGTACACTCAATGAATACCTTGTTGACCTTAATTTTTTATTTAGATGATGAATGTGATTGGACCAACTTAATTTTGAGTCTAAATTTAGACCTAAACACAAACTTTACAATTTTTGTATTACTGATTGTGGGATCTGAAACCCTATTTCTGAGCTTAAATTAAAGAATGTTAGTTTTACATTAATTCAATTTCACACCATGGCTCTCAAACCACTCATTAATTTTTTAATTGTGCTGTCAATAGTTAATTTAAGTTCACTTAGTGTTCTTCTTTTTAAAGAGCAGTTGTGTCATCGACATACAAAGTGAAAGTACAGGAATTTGTGGAAAGGCAATTAGGCAAGTCATTAATCAATATAATAAATAATAAAGGTCCAAGTATGGAACCTTGTGGAACACCATATGTAAAGCTGGCCCAGTTAGAATAATATTTTATTGATTTGTTTATTACTATTGTGTGCTGCTATCCATTGAATAGGTATGATCGTAATAATTCTAGAGTAGACAGTAAAAGGATTGTAATAGTTATCAGGCCATTATTTGAAACTGTCCAAACTTGAATGATTGCGCGAAAATTCTGCTGAATGGGTCCAAATTTTGTCAAACAAGCCTGAAATATTTCAATGTGTTTGTGTTTATAAGTTCCTCTGAATGATACCAGATTAGCAGTGTTTACTTGGTTATGCAGTTAATAAATGTTCATTCTTATAGACTTCAAGCCTTTTGACCTGGAGTCTTGGTGGGGCAAGAGGTTGTTCAACACAATCACCAAGTCCATCCCCTGAGAGCAACACAGACTCGCTCAGTGAACACTCTACTGAACGATTCTCCTTCCTAGTGAGTCTCAGCGAGGCTTAGCTCTGTAAATACACTGTATATATGTAAAGGGCTCTGGCCTCGATAGTTCCTAGGCGTAGATGTGAATATGTAAATAGCCTATTTTGTAAATACCGGGGATTCTTTGTTATCTGTTCATCGTTCTTTAAGACATAAGGCATTGTTATTTTTCTTAATCTTTCATGATTATCTGATGTCCTGTAGTCTCCATTTTGAAATGAAATATCTAAGTGTTTCCACTTCGGCACTTTGAGTGTTATATCCTAAAGGAATCAGTCGGAGCTTAATGCACCAGTATTCTCATTTGTTGTGTTTAGGTTACATTACAATACTGGTGGATTGAGATCTTACAGTACATAAAATGCCAAAGTGGAGTAGATTTTCTATGCCTAAAATTGAGGGACAAAACTTAAATCATATTTCTTTTTGGAGGGTGTTTGGTTATTTGTGAAACTTTTCTAAATATAAATCAGATCAAAGGGTTGCCCATTCATTGCATATTTTTCTTCAACTCAACTTTCAACAACTTTGAGTTGTTGTGCAATTTTTGCCTATCTTGATTGTTGCTTGTTCAAATAGTTAATTCTATTTAGGTAAAATATAAATCTCGTCATCATTAGTTTGTTATTGTTATGTCTTGGGTCAGTTGGAAATCTTCGTTTTATAATTATTAATGTTGACTAAACAATGTATTTTAGTTGCAAAACTATTGGTTCTGTTTCTATATCAAGAGTGGCTTTGATTCAGAAGTTACACTGTGATCAAATTCACTGTAACTTATTCTCAATTCACAACTATTTTGCTGTGGTAAAAAATCTAATATTTTTACTCTTGGACCAATTTTTTAATTTAAAAAATATTATAACTAATGACCAGTCATATTGACTGAGATAAAATTTCTTGTTTTCAATACATGATACGAAGACCAAGTCTGACCTGACCTCTGATTGTTATTAAATGTGTATTTACTATGCATAATGGTTGTTAAATGTTATTGTTAGTTTTGTTAAATCCATTTACAATTTAACTCTAGTTTAAGTTAAACTTATGTTAATTGATAGTATTTACAAGAAACTATTTCCTTTTAATGTGACATTTATGGTGATAGATAAAAGGCCTACATAGAGACCATACTATATGTTTTTATGTAAAACATAATTTAATTAACTCAGAAAACACATTACAGTATGGTAATAATTGTTTTACAATCTTTTCTATAAGTTATCTAGCAATTTCTTTAACGCCAATACAACCTTTTTTAAAGGCTAAATAAAGTTTTTGTACCTACAACGTTTTACACGGCTGAATATTTTTTTCAGTCTTGTGTGGGAAACTAAACCTATTAGGTTATAGTACAACATCCTAGTTGTATATGCTATTAACTAATTTTAGTAATTGGTTTGTTTTTCTCCTGTATCTAAACCCAAACAAATCAGAACGGTAAATTGGATATCACACTAGAACTGCCTAGGCCTAAACGGTGTTTAGAGGCCAGCTTGTTAGTACAAACATACTTTTATGTTATTTTTTATGACTGTGAAAGTGGGACTAACAATCTTGTTTTAAATTACATGGTGTTTGAGATAACAATTTAATTGTAAAACTTATTGAAGAATGGTTAGAAACTATCATAGCCAAGTATTTGTCAAAGGTGTGCTGGATTAGGTTTCTGGTATTCTGTAAGTATATAGGGTTTTTTGGGGGTGGATGTGCGAGTTATGATTTTGGGTGCCATGGATCGGAGTTTTACCAAGTTAAGTGATTCCAATTACAGTAGTCGAGAAATAGTGTTGATAATTATAAGTGTCGTTATCCAATTTTGTAATAAGACTTGCCAAGTTAAGTCATAGTTCTGTTATGATTTTGTAACTAGTTGTAAGAGGTGCCCGTTTATATTACGTTGCGGAGCGCGCCGTAGACTGAATGGCCTGTCGACGTGGCGGGCTGTAGTAGTATAACCGGACGAGACAGTTTAGTCTTGTCCATTCGTAGTCGATCCTCCAAAACGCCTTGTACGCAAGAGCCAGTTTTGGTGTAGTCTTTCGTAGTTGATTTATGCATGCTAAAATGCTTTAGTTACAAGAAATATTAATTTACAATTGTGATCAGACTTCCAAAGTTGTACTGCAGATTACTGCTTGTCTCCAAAGAAACATTTTCAATATTTTTTGCGACGTTATAAAGAATAATTATGTTATCAGGTTTTTGCTCTTTACTGTTGATTTTTAATGCTAGTCTATTATTGTTGTAATTGCCATAACTTTATGAAATGACTTGTTAATTTTGAATAAGGTAGGACTCTTTTTAAGGTATTTTTAAGGTACTGCAGAAAATCTGTGCAAATTGAAATACAAGCACAATAAATACACAAACCCATATTACTCAAGGTATTAAATCTTGGATTTTAATCATTTCTCTACCTTTAAGCGTAAGAAGTAAATATATTTGTGCGATAAAAAATATTTATTTCTTTAAAAAATTCTGTTAAAACATTGTTAACAACACCTACTTTTTTGTTATTAAAAGTTGAATGGCTACCTCAAAGTTTTTATTTCAGTCACTGTTTAATCCAACATATTAAGCAACCCTATCTAAAACTATATTATGGCAATGGTTTTATTTTTGTATAGATCAAAGTAAAATACATTGGAACCTCAATCAAATAGCAATTATTTTAAATACCCTTGATTTTATATTACCCTTAATTGCATGTTAATCGCTAACTTCAATAAGAAGTAAATCTTGATTACAAGTCTAGTGTTATTTGATCATTAATCCCCTTGAAAGATTTGTTGTCAAGGTTATACTGTATACTTGATATGTTTAATACAAAAACCAAAGCATTATCTGTTACCAATGAAAAAGGGTATTCCATTATTTTTGTGTAGTTGGAAATACATAGCTGCAAATAAAAATGTGTATTTTTTACCATCTATTTTGTTATATTACATTTTGATTTTATATTCTCAAGTTATAGTTGTAAATATAATAAAAGATATGGAAAAGTTATTCATTATACATAATGTCACGCTAATTTTCAAACAATTTCAAGTACATAAATTATAGTTCACCAAGTACATACATAGACAACCGCCAAACCTAAATGTTCAAAGTACCTGATCCTTCCACCAATTATCAGAACCACTTCCCCAAGCCTCATACCAACCGCAACAGATATAAGACCCACAATGACAAAAAACATCCTAAGTAAGAGAATGAATTACCACTACCAAGTTGTTAAAACAGGAAATGAAAAACCTGTAGCCATCCATGCTAGCAAACATAACATAAACTTTGATAAGTTATTTTTTTGTTTATTTCGTAGTTGCCTTTAGTTCTTGAAGTGTTACAGTATTTTCCTTATGCGCATTTCACCAGGAGGTGTGGCATCTTCAGAGGTCACTATGTTGTAAATTACATCCTACTATATACAAAAGTTCATATCCTAATGTATACAAAATTTCATACACAAAGAGTCAGCACTGTTTGAACTTTGATGGTTGCTTCACCATATCTTACTAATATTATAAATGTGAAAGTTTGTGTGTTTGTTTGTTTGTTTATGTGTTTGAAGTTCAATCACGCATAAACCACTGGACGGATTGGGCTGAAATTTGGCATGATGATAGCTTACATTCCCGATTAACATATAGGCATATTCTTATCTCAAAAATCCTTTCGGGCTCCGCCCCAGTGGCTCTGTAATTCCCTATGTTAACCTTATGAGTATTCATATTTAAAGGGAATTAAAGAATTTAGTCAGCTGTTTCAACCAAACAAAGTTGGTTCTATGATATGGAAGCATTTTTTAAAAGCATTAAAAAGTTATAAGATTTACCAACAGGGTGCAGCACTATATTTTTTGCATTTATGAAAACAGCTAATTTGAACTAAGCAGCAACAAAAAACTGTGATTCGCAATGAGAACTGTCAAAGTAGGATTGTTTAAAGTACCTAATGTTTATTTTTTTCATTTCATGAATAATTTGTGATTACTAATATTATTTGTGATATTTTGCAAATTGTTGATAATTTATTTTTCTTTATTGTTTAGGTGAAGTGGTAGAACATTATGGCTACAGTAGATGTGTAATACTATAGAATACTGTAAATTTAAAAAAGCAAATGTTATCAAACTGTGTCCTCCCTTATTGCAAACGCAAAGCTTGAGTATATCTGCAATAAGCATTTTATACTTTTATTCCAACCCCGTACGAAGGGCGGGTACTCTGCTAGTAAGTCATAAAATCATTTCCAAAGGATAATTGCAACCTCTCCATGGTAAGAAGCTGTAAATCGGAATTCCAGTATTTTTATAACTAACTCCAGAACTAACCCCAACCTTAGATAAACCTTTCCAGAACAGCAAGTTAAATGCAAAGATATCAGGCATAGAATATATATTTTTTGTTCATAGTTGAAGGTAAAACTAGTGGAAGTGGAATCACTGCATAGGTGACAACAGCCATGACAGTAACTATTTTGTCAACTGACTACAATTGACAAAGTCCCCCAGGGGACGAAATATTGTGTTTGTGTGTCTTATTGACAACATTTTACCTGCACTTTTTCTAAGGTAAGCTAGCTGCTATCCCCTTATTCTGCAAGACTAAAATAACATATTTAATAGTTTATTTCATAACAACTGTAGAAAGTGAGTCATTATGGTCATTACATATTTGAGTCCATGTTTGAATTGCGAGATTTATCGAGAACTTTAAATGGTCAGAATATGTATAGAGCCACTTTCACTAATGTTTTGAACGTTACTTTTCACTACACTACAAAGAATGATTATTTAGTTCATTACATAAAACTCATAGCATTTTTAGGTTATGACTTCAAATTAAAGTTAATATTGTCTTTAGTTGTTGAAAATTGAAACAGTTGATAAAACAATAACAAATATTTGTTTATTTATGTCGGCAAAATTCAAAAAAGATAGTAAACGTTAGTTTCCCATAGAAAACATTCTTATGCTGTAGTAAAGAATGTAATGATAGATTTTCACAGGTGAAAACATGTAATGAAAACAGGTCATTTCACAGCAGTGTAGTGAAAATATGTTTTCAATCACCCAAAATGTCTGACTCTTAGAGGCGGTTCACGAGTCACGGGTTATCCTTAGTTCGAGCGCAAAATCCAGTTATAGCCGGTTTTTTGCGCCGCGGCTTGGAAATCGGCTTCACGAGTACGAGGTTACCCGCGCTCGAGCGCAGACAGATAAACTTCACCCAATTATGACAGGGATAAACCCGAGCGCAAAAAGTCGGCTTCACGGGTTCAATTAGAGAAATCCCCGGGCCAAATGTCGGGTTCACGAGTCATGGTCTAGCGCAAACTGGATAATCTCGAGCGTAAATAACAATGGTTTTGGTCTTAAACTTAACCCTGCTAGGGGGCAGGGTTAAGGTGACATCATGTCGGGATTATCTCATTTGCTCGTTTATTGTTTTTTTGTTAGCAAAAAAAATGTTATATTCGGATTCGCCATTAAATTCCGAACAATTTCATTACCCTCAACATGATATTTATTTTTTTAATTTTTTTACTACTGATAGCCGAAAACATGCAAAACATCGTAAAAAGTAACTGTTGAGGCATTTTGATTAATTATTACTAAGTAAAAATATAACTAATAGCTTAACATATTCATATAAATTTAAATTGCAATCGAATCTTATTTTGTAAATTCATTTATTTTAGCAATTTTGAATCCTTTTATTTCAGCTGAATAATATCAAAATAAAAATGGTTCCATCAAACACCGTTAGGTTTGTCTAAGATTTTTTATTGTATAAAATTAGTTCAATTTTTGTTCCGCCATAAAATTCATATAAAACATAGGTCATTTTATTTAAGTACCAAATTTTATTTCGTATGTTTTAAATTATATGTTTATATTATTATGTTTATGATTTAAGATTTGTTAAAGAAAGATCTGATCATCTGATAATGTCTAAATATTTGTTATATCAGGATTTACAATAAATTGCTTCAATTTGTTGAGGTAAAAGATAAATTCTATAGTTGAATATACAAAACGTTGTATTGCAACAAAATATTTTTTAAATTATAACCTGTTTTCTCATGCTTAGGGCTGCGCTCTGCCCGTCTGGCACGCGCAAATGATCTTAGGGGCTTAGTTCTTAGGCCTGCTGTTTGTAGCCCCAATTGTGAACCGATTTAAAAGATCTTGGTGTCATAAAATGTTATTGTAGGTTTGCCATTTTATATTTACGTTTATTACTGTATACGTATGAAGGCATCTCTGCTCCTATAATAGCCAGTTGTTGCTCGAAATTTATTTTTTATACAAATTACTGATACATAAAAGATATTCATAAATCTTTGAAAAGAGCAGTCATTTTATTAAATAATTTGAACGTTTGGATACAACTGCAAACCTGATAAAGTATGTCTTATTTTTGAACATAATTGGTAATCGAATTTGGTAATCGAAGCATTACCAAGATTTGTTTAAACTTTTTTAAAACATAATTGCATTTTCCCGATTCAATGTATTCAGTAAAAGTGTATTATTCATAATTCAATGATAAATTGAGTAACCTTAAACTTAAGTATAAAATGAATTCAAGTGCAAGTCCACAACCTTTTATACGATATCAGTAAATACTCTATCAGTAAATGTCATCCTCTTGTTTTGGGGCTCGTCAACCACGAGCAGCGGCCCGGCAGGTGGCTGTTGCCAACCTCCCAACGAAAATTCCCAGTTAATCCCTGCTCTTGAGCGACGGCCAGCGTTGGTCTCGGCTAAGCTTGATCTCGGCTAACGCTCTATGTCGTGAACCCTTTTTTTGACCGTCGGTTAAAATTGGTCGAGATCAACGATAACCGCGGGCCACGAAACCCCGTACTCGTGAACCGCCTCTTAATATAACAAGCCAATTTAACCAGCTTCATGATCAGCTTTGGAACAATAATGCTTACATTAATTTACATTATTGCTGCATGAATTCAAATTTTTTGTCTAGGCTACCTAACAGTGATGTATTTTATGTTTACCAATATACAATGACTATTTGGTTTTATCATTAATTTTGTAACCTTGTTGCTAGGTATATACATTTCTTTAGCCATCCAAATTTTAAGTTGCTATTTGTAAAAAAAAATGCATTGTGCAGAGAAGGAACAAGATACTTTTCCCACTGTCTATGCCAGAGATTTTATATGGCATGAGTTGAAGGATAAACCAGGACAGTAAGTTATTTTTTTGTTAATTTTTAATAAAACATGTTCCATAAAGAAGTCAGTGGTGTAGGTAGATGATAGGACTTTTGTCCTGAAGGTTCAAGTTCAAACCCTGCCGATTAACAATGGCTTTTAGTTAGTGATAATGACATGACTCAGTAGAAGTTATGAGCCTTTCTTTAGTTGTAGGTCCGCCTTAACAAGTAACAAAGATAGTTCTTTAGTTGAGGCAAACTATCTCCATGCATTGGAGATATCTTCCTTGCTCCATTCATAAGGTATGATTTTAGTTTTCTCCTAGGTAAGTTGCATGTGATTTTTTATGACATTGGCTGTGAATTTAAGAATATACAATTAATGAATTATTCTAAGGTCATCTAGAATGACCTAGCTGTATTAATGTATTACCTTCTTCAACGTAACCAGCTATGCTGAATTGTTGTGTCATTAAACAAAATTGATACTTTTTGTATCTTTAATATTTACATCTTGTAATTATTGTACCGGCATCCTTATAAATGTCTATTGAGTTGCTTCAAAGCATAAGCTGAATAGAAACCTTCTCTCAAACAAACATATTTTTTAGGTTTTCAAGTCCTGATGCCTATGCTTTGACTAAAGACCGAGAAAGAGAATTTATAGATACAAATGCAATTATGGTAAGTTACGGTTTTAATGCTTATATGTTTCGCCTAGCCTTCATAATTATTAATGAAGCTATTAAAACTGTAATTAATTATAATCTATATGTACACTGCATGGTACATATAGTTAAAAACTAATTTAAAATTAGCTTCACTATTTGCAACATTGTATTGAAAGCTCGACGCTCGTCAAAACTATCGAGTGTGGAATTTCAACAATTGGGATTTTAAAAATATCCCAAAAAACCTAGGGGAATCATTATAAAAAAAAGTTTACATAGTTGTTAAGATTAAGCCACAGTTATGTATATTTATCTGGTTGCCCTATGTTTTTATGGTTGTTTATATTCCTTCAGAAAATACCATGGGAAGAACAACTGGAAATCATTAAAAACCTATATGCCCAACGAATGAAGACTACGTACTATGTTAGTTTTTGTGAGAAGAAAGGTAAGCTGCTTAGTAATGCAAATTTTTACTCATAAGTTTTAAGCGCTCTCTAAAAGTTATTTTTCATGAGGATTCTGATTTACATGAGTAGATAGTTTAACCTTGGGGCATTGCTGGTCCAGTGGTGGACTTCTGACCTGGAGAATTGGAATAAAATAGTGCCAATCACACATATGGCTTATTAGTGTAGTTAGACCAATATGTAATTTTGTGTTTTTTTTTTTTTTTTAAGGCAAAACTTATTATATTTTGAAAGCTTAAGTTATATAGTACCCTAAGTAAAAAACAAATTAGGGTGTATTTTTTTAAAATCCAGATTGCGTCCAAAATGGTTGCTGTTAGGTTTTTAGGGGTTTTCATAAATATCTCGAAAAATATTAACCTTTTTGTATATTATACCTACTAAATTAGGAAATTAAATATGATTAAATTTCCTACAAGAAAAGTATGTGATGTAACTAATTTCAAATCAACTGTAGCGAGTCGCTACAATAGCGCAAGTCACGTGACGCGGATGCGGGCGCAGTCGGCCCGCGTAGGCACGCGCAGCGAGCCAAGAGACCAGTAGTGTGTGTCGAGTGCCCGGAGCTGTACAACTTAACCGGATAAGTAACTGTAGCCTAAGATGTCTAGCTAATAGAAGTAGGGGTTGGGGAAGGGTGTAGGTTAGGGTAGATAGCAATTCAATTATGTAATTTATTAGGTTCTCGAAAGGTCGTGGTCTGGCAATTATTATCACTAATTTTGAATTCACATTAGCTAAGTCTAGTAACCTTTTTCACGAATTAGAATAAGTCTATATATATATATTTCTCTGTTCATTATATTATAATTAGATACATTATGAACATAAAAGCTGGCTGTGATAGGCAGCTAAGGTAATATTGTGCACTTTGACGAGTTAGATTAATTCTTGCAATAGAGTTGGGTTACGACAGGAAATGTGCGTGATTTGGCAGTGGTTAGAGGAAGATATATAGGGCCTAGGTATCTTCATTTACATTCATACTACTCCACATCATCACACAACCATTTAAAAGATATAATAAATATCTTATTATAATACTCCTTCCATAAGAAATACATGTAAATTTGTATGTAAAATAAATGCTTAATATGGCAAAGCCTATCCACCCAAAATTAACAAAATTCCCAGCAATTAGACACTTTGATCATACAAATTGGTCCAAAATAAAGGCAAGGGAGAGCACACAAAAAGAATTTTTCCTACAGTTACCTAACAATGTACATGTTCTCTCACTGATTTGAGAAAGCAAAGTGGGCAATTCGCTCATCAGTGAGACAATGTTAACATTGTCTCACTCTAATTACTTTGTCTCACTCCAGATTTGCAACGTGAAGGCACGAAATAGTGAGCGCATAACATGCAGGCAACGTCGTATGCGCGCGAAATACGTTGGCAGCACTCAAGATGTATGGAGTAAAGGAGGTGGGCCAGACAGAGCGGACTGCGCGCGATGACGTCACTGCAGTCCCGGCCGCGGCTGCTTCGCCGCTAGATACATGCTAAACGCACAAACCTTACTTTTTCAGACACGATTTACGCTGGTTTGGAGGAGGTATTTACCGTTATGACACAAATATCTTTGTGTACTAAATAATGATTTTTATGATTTTGAACTAAACATGAATTGTGAACAGTTTGACAATAGTAAATAACCAATTAGGCCTGAATGTTGCATAGAAAGTGATGAAATGCGGGCGTCTACCGATTCAGTTGGAATAATATTACACTTAAGAATTATTTTAGATTAAGATATAACACTCCCCTTTTTCAGGTCAGTTAATAAAAAATATCTTTTAGCACTAGGTAAAAAAGTTGCCTGTTTTAAAGTTACTTCAACTGCTTTTTGGTGTTAGTTATAAATGAAACGCCATCCTTTTTCATGTTGTATTTCTTTTTTTCCTTTTTAATGATAAACTTATTTGGGTTTGTTGATAAAAAAAAAAAAAAAACAAACAACAACAACCAATTATTTAATAGTTTACATGAGAATCATAAATGTTGCTTACAAATCAAAGTCAACTACGATACTGTATACGCTCAGAGAATACTAATGATTTTCCCCGAGGAAAGCTTGTTTCACAGGTACTTTTAAAGAAAAATATTAATTCCGTATGTATAAACATATGTTTCATTTTAGACTTTATTATTTTCGTGTTAAGAGGATTTTCTCTTTTATGTAAGTGCACGTTGTTCGGTGTTTTTATACGAGTTTACTTTCTGAGATAAAAAATGCTAGCTATATATATAATGACAGTTACCTATTTTAAAACTAAAACTCAATCCGACATAAGAGTCATATTTTATTCGCAAACAAAATATGCTTTGTCTTTATTGAAATGTGCAAAAGAAACGATTTTTGGATTTCAATCATTTTTATATTTGTTTATTTTGAAGATGTTTAAAGGAATTAATTTCATAATTATTGAGTTTGGGGAATGTTAAACATTTGTGAGCCCTGAATGAAACTTGTGTCTACTGAACACAGTATTATCGCAGTGATGCGGAGGAATGTTCTACAAAACGAAAATTGAGAAAACTTTACCGGGGAAATAAAAAAGTAGTGCAAGCTGTGTTGTAATAATAAAACACCACAATGTAGGCTAAATGAAAATTGAGAGTTTGGAAAAGGAATTTTTTGAATCGAAAATTAAATAGGTATTTTACCTAGGCCTATTTAAAATGCTTTGATATGAATAAATGACCCTGTTAAGAAAGTAAAGACATTAAGCCATTACGCCATAAAGTTCATCGTTTACCTCTAGACCGTCTTGAGCTATTTGCTCAAAGAAGAATAGTAGAGTCTAATGATATTGAAGTTTTTTTAATCAGGCAAAAACAAATGAACAGCAACAAAAAATCAAAAACAATCAACTAAGAAACGTTATCGTCAGTACTAAATTTAAGAGTAAGTAAAAGATTTCAAGAACTCTACAACTCAATGTGTTTATATCTGATTGCATGTCCAATGGTGAGAGATACACTTTGTAAATAAAGTGTTTTTATTTCAAATGTGTTTTCTTTCCATTCATAAAAATACAAATCTCCATTCCTAATTACACTAATCTAATGATGATTGTACATTACCAAAAGCTACTTTTATTTTGTATATCTGTATAGTGAAAAATGTTTGTTTGATTTAAATAATAATTTGAAAAATGTTAAGGGTATCTAATTTAGTTACTAATATATTCATGAACAACTGTAGTTAAGTAGGCTATCCTAAAAATATATAGATCATAAAATTAGATGCTATTTACCGGATCAGAGTAGATCCTTAGTGATATAACAACAATTGCAGAAATGGACATCAATTTAATCAACAATTGCTCTAATATTTGAGTAGTAATATATTAAGGAATAACATATTAATATATTTAAAACCAAGCAAAACCAATTTTAACAATTGCGTAGAACAAACTGGCGTAAACAGCGCAAAACAACATCTAAAAGTGTTGTGTACGGGCTGTGAGTAGCGGCTCGAGGACTGCAGTGACGTCACTGCCTCAGTCCGATGGGCGAGGGGGGGAGAGGGGCGCGCTCTGTCTGGCCCACCTCTTTTACTCCATGCATCTTGGGCAGCACTGGCTGCAAATCAGCTGTTGTACTGTTGTATTTGTCACTTCACATTAAATTTTATATTAAAAGTTCACTTCTGTGTAAAAATAGGTTATGTTTCTTCACAAATTTATTTGTTTTATGGTAACTGTAGGAAAAGTATAATGTGCAACTCGAGTTCAAAGTACAATTGTCTCACTCGAGAAACCATTCTGAGTAAGGATTTCTCTCGAGTGAGTCAATTGCTCACTTTTCTCACTAGTTGCACAAATAACTATTTCTGATTAAAGTGTCAAATTGCTGGGAATTTTGTTAAGTTTTCATGAATATGTATGTTATATTGACCTTGGGTGGATAGACTTTACCATGTTAAGAATTTATTTTACATACAAATTTACATGTACTGCTTATGGAAGGAGTATTTGAATAAGATATTTATTATATCTTGTAAATGGTAGAACTGAAATAGTTACATCATATACTTTTTTGTAGGAAATTTAATCACCTTTAATTTCCAAATTTAATATACAGTAGTATACAAAAAGTTGATAGTTTTCGAGATATTTATGAAAAACCTAAAAATGGTATCTAACAGCGGCCATTCTGGACGCAATCTTCGATTTAAAAATGATACCCTAATTTATTTTTTAATTACTATATCGTCTTTTAAAATATATTAAGTTTTTGCCTTAAAAAAAAAACACACACACAAAGGTTTATTTTATTACATATGCGCCTGCACTATATAGAGCAATTTCCAATGCCGCCATTGAGTGGTTTGAAATCCAGGATTCTCACACCTACACTCAAGGAGAACTTTTCTTGTAATGGAGAACTCTCTTTGCTTATGATAATAAATTAATTAGATTTAGCATCTATGTTTGGATTGTGTTTCTTTAAGCTCACAAAAACTCTTAAGCCACCCCAGCAACAAATTTGGGCCTGATCAACTTCCAAGCAGATAAAAGAGTTACTTCATAACACAAAATATTCAATTGCGTTTCAATTTTTCAATACATTTAGCTGTAATAAAGAATGCTCCAAAAATAGCTGTATATGTTTGTAAAAGTTCTAGTCATTTAATTTTCCAGCAAAGAAGGAAATAAATTCCCAAAGTGAGGATGATGAGGATACCCTGCTTTCCACTGCTGATAAACTCTACTCTCCTAAATCTCAAAAAACTCTTCTCCCAATACCAACTTCTCGAAGAGGTAAGTTATTGTATGTTTTCTTTTATCAATTTTTTAGCTTAAAAAAAATGTAAATATTTTGTTTATAGTTTAATGGTTTAATTCTGAATAGTCTCCAGTCGGTATCTTTTTGATGGTTCGAAATTGGTTCCAGATGTCCTCGATTTTTGGGCTTTTAATAAATGGTACTGCCTTAAGAAACAGCTGATTTTAATAACAAATAACATCTCATCCATTCAAAACTCATCCTTCACTCACCTTTGCCAAATATCCACTTGTATGTCAGCATTATACAAACATAATCCTAATCTAATCTATATCATAAACCAAATCAAAGGTTTTAAAAACTGGATAATAAAGATAATAGGTTTTGAATCGATAGTTTGGGTCATAGACCACATAACGTTTTCCATAATAGCTATAAAATTACTGTAGTTATAGAAATTGCAAATAATATATTTATCTAAGCCCTTGGAAATATATTTGTTTTTAATACTGTAATTGATAATACAAGGTGGTATATACATTGAAGACGAAGATGCTATAGATAGATGTTTAGAAATATCGATTGGACACCCCGAAGTTATCGGATCAGATCTTTCACAAAATATGTGTAAAATCAGCTATACAGATCGAAGTCCGGTACACAATGTTTTTAGATCCATAAACCAAACTTGACCATAACCCTCCAAAAATATCTTTAAAAATTCATTAAAAAATAATATAATGATTTCAAACTATTTTAATGATATTTGTGAGAAAAGTGCCAATCAAAAATTATAATCCTTGCAGTGTTGGGGTACAGCAGGCCTGCATACTACTACATGGGACGTAGTGAATATCAAGATGAGTTTGGCAAATTTGGATATGGACAGTTGATGCCATCCAGAGGTCAGAGACTAAAACAACGACTTAACTTCTGTGACATGTTTACAACCAAATACTAACTTACTTCTAAACAATTAAGGCATCATGGGATTTACAAATTAGTTTCAATATGAAAGTTTACAAAAAGTTTTTTTTAAGTTAGATGATCTATTCTATCTAAAAAACATAAATTGTAAGATTGAAAGTCCATTTTTAATGTGAAGTTATGTTTTTTTTTTTAAGGTGGGGTTGACTCCATGGTTAGGCTGATGGGGGGGGGGGATAGGTTAATGCAGATATTTTTTAAAACATTCTATAACAATATAATTATCAGATATCAGAAATTGGTTTTTTATAATTGCCAAATACATGTAATAGCATGTAAAAATAATTTTGAAAATATTCAGTTCAACTGAAGATTGTTTAAGAATTTAAATTTTGAGGGTTGTCTATTAATTAACGTTTAAATCTGACCCCAGCACCATGTATTTTACTATCTCCACAACTAGTCTATGCAGTTGTCTCTCGGATGCTATGTTGAATATGAAATTGGTGAACAAGTCGATATCAGTGGAGGGGAATATTGGCTCCTCGCCAAGTTTCTGTGATTCAATTTCCATTTGAAGGCGATCAGTCCCAACTAGCTTGCTTTGTTGTGATAATGGAAGCTTTTTTGGAACCTTGATTTAAGAATCACTGATCTTATTAAAATTACGTGCCATGGGATGCAGTAGAAGATTTTCCAATCATCAACTGGACAGGAAGGTTTTTCATATCTTTCATAGCTTGAAGCAACTAAATCACTATTTGATCATCTATTTATCTAAAATCATTATCATGCTTTTATATCTTTCTAAGTCATTATTTATCAATCCAATGCTCCAAATGTTTCTAAAAGTTTCAACAAAGCAGGTAATCTTGCTTTGTAATATTTGCTACGGAAATTCTTTGAGAAAGGAGAATCTTCATCATTGACAGGTTTATCAAACTCGTTTTCACCCATTTCATTAAAGTCAGCTAAGTTATCCGGGTCAGCCATGGCTACTGACAAAATCGAGCTGCAAACAAAGAAACCGTACGGGGAATAACGTTTTATCTCCTTGTCAAATTCATCTTTTGAAATTCTTTCTGATACTTGTGCCTTCTCCAACGTCTGGTTGAGCGTTTCCCGATAAACCTCAAACAATTCCTCTTGTGAGTTTTCTTGAACTTCTTGTTTCACACTAGTCCACCAGAAGTAATGAATATCTTGTGCGAAGCTTCCAGTACGAATAATCTGGAAATCTATGAGTTTTGCATCTACGACTTTGCCTGACTCGTACTTAAATAGGAAGTTGGTGGTCCAACAATCTCCGTGACAGAGGACTCTCAGTTCACCTTGAGGTTTAAAAATTTGTTGCATCGTACTGTAGAAAGTGTCCAACTTACCCTGGATAATCTCAGCGTATCTGTCTAAGCCAATAGACTTTACTGTCTTCATCATCGTGGCAATGTTAAATTTTGTGAACTTTTCTTGCTCTTTTATGTCTTCTTCAGGTCCATCGTCGCTGAACCATGAGCTCTTTCCTATACTCTGTATCAGCTCGGGGTTCTTCTGGTAAAGCGCTATTGAGAGTCCGTGAAATGTCGCTAAACTTATAAAAAATTGCCTGCAGTGGGCAAAATCTAGTTGTTTCAGCCTGAAAAGAAAAAAAAGAGGAAATGAGACTAATTCAGTAGGTTATTATAAGTTAACGTTTATAATCACTTATGCTAACATAAAAAAATAATTAGTGTAAGTAAATGAAGAGAGGCTTCAACCCTCAAAAAACCTGATTGTAGTAAAATATTAATACAAATAAAAGAACTAATCGTATAGGTAGTGTTTTATTGAAACATTTGAGGGAATTGCCCTTCAGAAAATAGTTGTGTAATAGCTAGTGGTTCCAGTGGGTTGTCAAAAATGTGATTTTGATTTCATTGCAGCAAGATTTTATCCTTAAGATTGTTAAACACATTTCTCAAATATCATACATTATTTATGCATTTACATTTATAAAATAATTATTTAAACTCTGGTTTGTTACTTTCTGAAGTTAAACTATTGTTAGAAAACAATATAATAATAAACCCACCAGCAAAATGGCAAGAGGGTTTAGAATGAAACTTTAAAAACTTAAAGACTTTTCTCAAGATCAATCATACGACTTTTAGATAACAAGGCAAGTATTTTATGACTCCTTAGATAGCAAGTAACTACAACCCCCATCGGATCCACAACCTTAAAAGAACCTATGTGACAACAAACTGTCAACCCTCATCAACTTCTATCTCTTGATTCTTTTTATAGTTTAGCTATGTTTACATTACCATAGTCTTCATTCTTCCACACGGCTGTTTGAATATACATAAACCGAAGAGATCTCTATAAATGTAAGCAAGAAGTAAGATTGAGTTTTGTCTCTATAAACGATGGTGGGAGTAACTTTTATTTAAAGAACCACATTATACTCCTCTGTGTTCTCAACCCGTTGTGAAGCACAGGCAGTGCAACTAGTTTCAGTAATGCTTGCATCTGCACTGCATGCAAAATTTCAACCAAATAATACAAATTTGTTAACACAAACGGCTTTAAAATATAAAAATCATTCAGCCAATAGTTCTTACCTGTCAGCCATTTTATAGCCGAGTACCGTCAGGTCTTCAAGCACCAAGGAGTTGTGAAGGTTACATGGGTAGGAGCGAGCCGTCACTACGATGGACCGACTAATCTCATACATTCTGGGGAGTACGTCTCGGTACATCCTAAGCTCTTTGCCATAGCCATCAGACTTCTCCAGCCATTCTTTCACCTGGCCTGACTCCAGAGGGGTTTTGACAATGAGAGAAATAGATCTGTTAAAAAATAAGAATAAATGGGAAAACAATTAGTTTATTTTACAATTTTAATTGATTTTTCTTGACCCTCGCTAACTTATAAAATATTGATCTCCCAAAATCAAAATCTTCGATAACTCAAATAAATTTCAATCACCTTGATTAAATTTAAAAAAATAACCATTCATAACTTGAAATAATTTTACAGTTTTAGTACTTTACCTCTATAGAATTCAAAAGAACGCCAAATCAATCCTGAATAAATTTAATTCTTTGAGATCCTGAATTAATAGTTTTTAATATCTTGTAGGTTTGAATATCTCGATTAGCTAAAAATAAATGTAAAAACATAAAATTGGATTTACACTGTTTTAACAGTTTGATTTAATTTTCTCTTTAGGCCTGGTTTAAACAAATGAGGCCAGTAGGACTGGCCTGGCCAGTGAGGTCAGGTTACCTGCCTCATTTCAGTGTATTTGAAGTGACTCTACCTGAGCAAGGTAACCTGCCCGTTACTGGCCTTGTGTAAACACGGCTTTGCTTTCAAAAATCGTATATGCGAAATTTAGTTTAGTAGAATATTTTGGGGAATTAAAGTAAACTTCATCTCTTTTAGTCGGATTCAAAATTAGTGTAATTAGTTAGGCTAGTTGTTATTGTACAGTAATGACCTCTGTAACTCAAACTCTGCTTAACACTAACAACCTGTAATTCAAAGAAAAATCATAGTACAAAATGAATTTGTATCTACTATCTAGCAAGAGAGCAGGAATTTTTTTCCTGATTTTACAAACAAAAGTATGATGAACATCATCTGGAATATCAAGTGTAGTGTCCATGTGTGTAGGTACTGTAGTTGTATGCTAGGTAGAGGAAGCATTCTTAAGGTGGCAGCTTACAGCATAGTTATACAAATAAAATGTAGAGTGATGCAAACTAACATAAGCGTAACACACATACTTTTGTTAGGAACTTGTTTACACATAGGCCAGCTCAATATTAAAAAATGTGTAATAATAGTGATTATTAAATGTGGATATTACTGTATAAATAAATCTTAAAAATGCCCAAACATCCTATTTTGGTTTTTCCATACCTTTGGTCATTCTCTATCTCGTAGTCAACAGACAGACGATACAACAGGCTGAGGTAGTTGCTGCCAGGAGGCACTGCAGGGTGACATTTCCACTTGGACACAGATATGTGGTCTTCACCGATGTTTTCAACTGATCTCAATACTTGCTTGATAAACCCTTCGTCCAACCAACCGGGTTGCAAGTCCTCCATTATCTGAAGAATCAAACTCTGTTTACAGACTTTTCTCTTTCAAGTCTTATGTTGGATTTCATAAATTTTTGGAATCTATATAATTAATGACTAATTTGACGTGCCAACGTATTTGTATGGAATATTAACTGGCAAATAAATCTCATTCTCATTCATTCTCATTCTCATTCTCATTCTCATTCTCAATACACTACATGAAACTCTGTCGGTTGAACTTTTCCGCCATTTCTTAACCGATTTCATCCATTGACGTCTCATTGGAAAGAGCGTGTCGCGTAGGTTTGCAAACTGACCTTACATTTATGAAAAAGTCCCTTGGGCTCTGCCCCAGTGGCTGTTAAAGTTCCCATGTTATCCTTATGAAGAACATAATTGTTTACATTTTGATCAGCTGTATAATTTAATTGCTGTTATTTATTTTTCAATTCAAAGTCTTTTAAACTCATTGGAAATTATGATGAGTTTTATTTGTTTTTAAATAACTACTTTACTTCTTTGCAATATTAATTACTAGCAGAGTACCCGTCCTTCGTACGGGGTCGGCATATAAGTATAAAACGCTTATTGCAGTTATACTCGAGCTTTGTATTTGCATTTTCAATGGGGGAGGACACAGTTTGATAAAATTTGCTTATTTAAATTTACGGTATACCATAGTATTACACATCTACCATAGTCATAATGTTCTACCACTTCACCTAAACAATAGAGAAAAAAAATTATTAAAAGTTTGCAAAAAATCACAAATTATTCATGAAATTAAAAGCATAAACATAACTGTAAACAATCCTACTTTGACAGTTCTCATTGCGTATCACAGTTTTTTTTGCTGCTTGCTGTAGTTATGATAAATGCAAAACAAATAATAGTACGGCACCCTGTCGGTAAATCTTATAACTTTTTAATGCTTTTCATATCATAGAACCAACTTTTTAGTTGAAACAGCTGACAAAATTCTTTAATTCCCTTTTAATATGAATACTCATAAGGTTAACATGGGAAACTGCAGAGCCACTGGGGCGGAGCCCGAAAGGATTTTTCAGGAAAAAATATGCCTATATGTTAATCGGGAATGTGAGC